TGTCCTGAGCGAGAGAGAGAGCGCGAGCGAGAGAGGGAGAGAGAGAAAGCAAGAGACAGATGGATAGAAAGAGAGTAAGCGAGAGATTGATGGTGAGAGATTTCATAGTGCTGCTGGGGTCAGGGCTTTGTGCTGGTTCACCATGTTGAGCACATCTCTAGCACTCAACCTTGGGAGACAGGGACCCACCAGGCATTACAGCCCACTTCATTATGTTAAAAAAATAAAAGATTATAATATATATATATATATATATATATTTTTTTTTTTTAGGGGGTAGATCAGCTTTAATATTGCAGATAGATTGTAACTTTTCCAAGCCTTTAACATAACCACATATGGCAAACAGTATTCAGATATATTATCATGATAAGAGTGACTTTTTTTTAGATACTTGACTGCATCAAGTTTATCCTGTGGTGAATGTCTTGAAAACCACCAATCTGGTGCCTTGACAGAGTCCTTATGACATAATCCTATGTTTTTGCTGCCTGGTTTCCACCATGCTAAATCGATAAACGGGTTTAAGCCCTGATGCACGTACAATGAGTTAAAACCCTGTGTGTGTGGGTGTGTGTGTGTGTGACGTAACAGCCTGAGGCACAGGACTTCCTGCTCCTGCGTGGTAAACGGCAGCTGTCATCTCCACTCAGGCTGGGAGCTGCAGACACAGTCTCCCTTCCCTCCCCAGTCCACGGAGACGGATCATGTCCTGTCAGGACTCGCTCATCTGACATGTGTCACAGACTATGATGCAGCATCTCACCAAGCCTAGGGGACACTATTGCAGCTCTTGAGAAACACACAATCAGCCTCGTTTCACATTCAGAATCACAAATGGGCTTTGTGAGACTTCCTGACAATGTGTAATAGGCTTGCAGAGATGGGCTTCAAATAAATACTACAATGTTTTTATCTTCCTCTTACCTCTTTCAGCAGATGCATATCTCTATGTTGTCATCAGTAGTCACATTACCCCACCTTCCTCCAAGGGACTGGCCATCCAGCCATCTGTCAGGCTGGCCCCGGCCCTACAGACTGTACCGCCCCTAGGCATTGTTAAACACCCCACATCTCTGCCTCCTCACTGTGGAATTGAGGCATCTCCAGATGTCAGGCAGAGAGTGTAAATGACGGATTGGAGGACTGGTGTGGTGTGTGTGATGTGCGTGCGTACGTGGTTAGCTCCATCTGACCTCTCTATGATTGCCTTTTTGTTAAATGGGAAGGAGGATAGAAAAACTGTGGTGTTTATAATAGATTAATTTTTTTAAAGGCTAGCCCAGGTAGGTAGGTCAGATGGGTAGAGTGGTGCTGCTGCTGACGCAGGGAACATTTGATTCTATTCCACCTTGAATAGCTTCTAAATAGACCTTTTAACAGTCCAAAACTAGCAACTAGAGTTGCTTTCACTGTTCACTTGGATCTGCCGTAAGACATTCACACACCAGAGGTCGTTATGCTCTCTGAATTATATTGGTATGTTTAGCTGTAAGTGTCCAGAGTAGTAGCTGTAGTCTTAGAATTGTGCTGCTTGGGTGAGCAAAGTCCAATGGCTTTAAGTACTGGCAGTGGACAACTCCAGTCCTTGAGAGCTTGGGTGTCCAATGATTGATTGCCTTTTAAATCAACACCTGACATACAGTATGTAGTGGAAAATGAGGCACAAGTTTGTTTTCTGGGCAAACATCTGAAATGGTTCAGGGAAGTGCCAAGATTCACCTAAATCCAGCAGCCCAACACCTTTAAATGGCCCTTGCTGAGTGCTGACATTCTCAGCCCATAAAAGCAGAGCCGTTTAAAAAGTGCCAGAGGCTGACTGTGCTCAGTGAGGCTGTTAAGGTCAGGCCCAAAGTCATTGATTGGACTAAGTGCCTGGATGAAAACACTGGCCTTCAATCAATGCCTGCTCTAATGGTAAAGGCGAATGTTCCCTTAAGACAAAACTATATAGACGTTTGTGACAGAGTCATCCTGTGGTTGCCGAGTCAAAAAGCTTTGCCAAGGCTGGCTGCGCTCTCCCTGAATCAAGTGTAAATGAATATGCCATTACTCAGACTAAAGCATCTAAACTACAGCACACTTACTGTAACAATCTCTAGTCATGCCTCTGGTTTCCCCCCTTCAATTAGAGATAATCTGTACCAGGGACCCAATCTGGGACCAGAGCGGGTCCCGATCCAGAATTCTAAATAACGCCACGGGTCTGGGTCGGATCCGATATGACTGTCACGGGTCTCAGGTATGTGCAATTTTAACTGACTTACCGTACAGATCGACTGCTGCAGTAGAGAGAGAGACATTTGATAATTCATGCTGCTGCTCTTGCTTTTCACGAGAGTGGAGCGAGTAGCTTGTTGGCCAATCATAAATCAAAGAGGCAATAGGCTACAGGCTACAGTCATAGAGCCTCTGTGTGTGGCAGAAGTTAGGAGATATCTAATCAATGGAAGATGAAATTAAAATGACAGAATTAAAAAGTTAAAGGAGAAGGATGGGCTACAATGACCAAGAGCCAACAGGTAGGCTGCTACTTAATATTCTGAATGGAGTTGTTGTTATTCGTAACTGTAGGATGAGAAAGCGCATGCACTACAGCCTCAATTAGCCTAGCTTGTTAACTCCCAGTTTGATGCAGTCAAGACAGGTACTATATAATCATATTGGATGATAAATAACCTAGCTATGGCATCTATTAGTCTCCTATAGCGTGAGTCTGCTTGTTTGGTTGCGGTCTCTACTCTCTGTGTCACCTACCCACAGTATGGCCCCTCCCCGCCTGCTAGAGTGGCACCTATCTCTCCCTCTCGCGCTTTATCAGCTCCAGTTAATAAAGTAGATTCAAAAATAAATGTTCTGCCGCTTACCTCACTCGGATCGGGTCTAGATCCGGCCAGGTCTATACGGAACTGGTGTAGTTGTCCTCGGGTCTGTTCGGAACAGGTCTCTATATTTTAAGAATGAATTTATGCATATCGGGTCCGGGTGGGAAAGACCCAGGTCCATTTCGGAACAGGTCCAACTTATTGGACTCGTGAAGACCTCTACCTTCAATACAGGCTTTACGGATGGATGACAGATTGTTTTAGTCCACCCAATTCCATCTTTAGTGTCTTAAACACATGAACAGACTCTAAAAAGGACCCCTCCTCCCTTTCCTCCTAAGCCATGCCAAAACCAACAGTGCACGAAAACTTAACTGCTAACACACACACAGATGAAAGACAGCGTACTAATGACAAGGTCCTACTCTGTCCACTTAATGCTTCAAAGATTGAGCAGGGGACCCTTGAACCTCCGCCCTTCCCAAACCCACCATAATTAGCCAGTGTTGGGGAAGCTACTCTGAAAATATAGTTTACCAAGCTCCCAATTACTTCACACTGGAAGAAGTTAAGCTACACTAAAGCTACACTACCGTTCAAAAGTTTGGGCTCACTTAGAAATGTCCTTGTATTCGAAAGAAAAGCCATTTTTCGTCCATTAAAATAACATCACATTGATCAGAAATACAGTGTAGACATTGTTAATGTTGTAAATGGCTATTGTAGCTGGAAAACGGCTGATTTTTAATGGAATATCTACATAGGTGTACAGAGGCCCATTATCAGCAACCATCAGTCCTGTGTTCCAATGGCACGCTGTGTTTGCTAATCGAAGTTTATCATTTTAAAAGGCTAATTGATCATTAGAAAAACATTTTGCAATTATGTTAGCACAGCTGAAAACTGTTGTGCTGATTAAAGAAGCAATAAAACTGGCCTTCTTGAGACTAGTTGAGTATCTGGAGCATCAGCAATTGTGGGTTCGATTACAGGCTCAAAATGGCCAGACACAAATAACTTTCTTCTGAAACTCGTCAGTCTATTCTTGTTCTGAGAAATGAAGGCTATTCCATGCGAGAAATTGCCAAGAAACTGAAGATCTCTTCCAATGCTGTGTACTACTCCCTTCACAGAACAGCGCAAACTGGCTCTATCCAGAATAGAAAGCGGAGTGGGAGGCCCCGGTGCACAACTGAGCAAGAGGACAAATACATTAGAGTGTCTAGTTTGAGAAACAGACGCCTCACAGGTCCCCAACTGGCAGCTTCATTAAATAGTACCCGCAAAACACCAGTCTCAACGTCAACAGTAAGTGTGCTGTACCACACCAAGTTACTGTAATATGTAATTAAATTACTAGTTGAACTACAGGTAGTTCCCTACTCCCCAACACTGCAATTAGCCAGGCCTGAGAGACCACTGGCAGCCTGCATCCATGACAACCATTGCAGAGACACAGCTCCATGAAAGCAGCCCCAAGAGGTACACGCACACCAACACTGGCTTGGTTTAATCATCCTCTCTCACTAGGAGATCAGCCACATGTTAAAAGAGCAGCATATTAAAAGCCTTCTATTAGAATGAGTCAAAATGTAGGCCAATATAGATTTTTCCATTTCACGGACATGGAGGATGAGATCCACATGACAAATGTACATAGAGGAAACTCAAACTCACGTCAGTCAATAAAACCTTTTGATCCATTAATTTGAAAGCATTATAGGATTCAAGCCGATGACTCATTTTAAATCACGGAATGGTAGGAATTTTAAAACCAACCCCATCTAATAATCTATTCTTCTAACAATAAAAGGTCACGATTATGTTTTGTGTGATTATATTAGTGGCCACACTAATCCTTCCATAGAGATTGACTTTTGGTTTGTTTTGAAACTCATTCCCTTCTTTGACTAGAACTTCACCTTTCACCTTCTCTCTACACTCCCTAGATGCCCACTACCATGAAGACCAATCCCCTTCACCACATCAGGACACAGTCAACATACTCCCCATCTCTCACACCTTTGAAAACCCCCACACCTTGACATTTCTAGATATGGAGTAGAGGGAGAAGTGAGTGACAGTGGAATATCAAAATGACGAAGGAGCAGTAAGGAATATTTCCAATTCAACAGTAGGAAAAAAAAAAAGCATCTAGAGTAAGCGATAGGTTTGCTAACCGTTCTCCTTCTCCTCTCCGATGCACTTGCTGATAGACTCTGGGAGGCCCAGGCTGGCTGCGGTGGGCATGGGCCCCAGGAGGGAGGCCAGCGATGGGCCTCTGCGTGGAGGTCTCTCCTCCTGCCCCTCTCCATCCTCCTCCTCCTCCTCTCCAGAGATCACCTGGTCACACAGGTCCTTATTGAGGTGCTGGGCCACAGCCTTCAGCTCTTCGTCCTCCCTCTCCTCCCCATCAGGAAGAGATATTTCATCATCCTCTTCCTCCTGGGGGCCTAGGAGAGGTGGAGAGAAAGAGCAAGACATGTGGACCCCTGGGATCCAATAAAATCCTATAAATCCTACATGCAATTACATTTCTTCATGAAACTGATAAAAAGTAAATGATGCAGATAATAAGTAAAGAGACTAACATTACATTTCAAGGCAGATTCATTTAGGTCGTTGTTGTGGGTCATTATGAAACTAATTAAAACTCTATGACATCTGGGTTTACAATCGAGTCCTTCATGTAGTTATGGGTGAATCTATCAACCTGGCTATTGAGACAACATACCTTATAAAAGGAGCACTTGGTTTAATTATACGGTACCATCAAGCTGTCAAAGTATCGTCATGATGACAGCCCTCTTAGTGTTGATAAAAGCCCAGTGTGTGTGTTATAATTGTGCTTCCCAGCCCAGGCAGAGGAGCAACAGGCCTACATGACGCTGACAGCCTGCCAGCGGCCCCTCTACTGAGGCCGTGCAGAGATGAAGAATGAAACGCAACACAACCAGCTAGGGGGGCACATATGGTTGGAGGGGGTTTAGCTCATCACAGTTGGACTGCAAATGTGCGTCATCATCACATTCTCATTTGCACTGAGTGAACACATTCCCCCCCCCCCCCCCTGTATATTTAGACAAACCACAGGAGTTTCAGGCTCTAGCGACAGTAGACTGGCAGCATAGTGAGAAATTCCCCCTCCCCAGAGGGTCCTAACTAGAGAACTTGCATGGCTGCTGAGCGCAGCAGGACCCCTCTGTGTCGTACCGGCTTTTGCACAGGAGGCGTACATCCCTCTCAACTTGGGCCGGCTCTGCTCCAGCTCCATCTCAATCTCATCTTGGTACTCATGGATTTCACCTGTTGAGATAAAACCCAGACAACTCTGACGACTGACTTTACAATCTTTGTATATTTTTGAAGAGTTTTTTGGTTAGCACTTGACTAGACATTTTTCATAACCGTACCTTGAACATCGCCAATCTTCTTCTCCAACTCTTCCTCAAGCTAGAAGGAAAAAACACAAAAGACCAGGGTGTGAATGAAAAAAACAGCAGTACCATATTGAGACAAAACACTGGCTAAAACATAGGACAAGATAAATAAATAAGGTTGGTACGGTTGTATCCTTTCTTCAGTTCCTCCTCACCAGCTTCATTCTTTTCTTCCTCTGGCCAGCAATGAAAGAGGGCGGGTCACACTCCTGGTCGAGATCCACTTTCATGAATTCCTCAATGGTCAGCTGGCTGGTGGGCGTGTCCTCAAACTCATTCAACCTGAACCATGAGAAAGAAAAGCGTCAGCATACTCCTCATAGAGATTACTGAGAACATGCAAGGCTAATTATATTTCATTTGGAGGATGCTGTAATGTGCTTTTCAAGCAGCGCTCACCTCTTTCTTAGTGTGGCCTCGCACACCTTCACTACACTAATGATTTCTTTGATGGTCCGGCGGAACTCGTGCATGCGCGCAGCGACCAACAGGGCTGAGAACACAAACAAACGCACAGGTGAAACACACGCCATCACACACACCTTGCCGACAAGTTTAATATCCACTTATATTTTCCAATTTACCCACCAAATGTTGTAATATTCAAGTTATAATAATCTGTTAATGTTAGTAGAGCATGTAGCGCTTGCATTGCCAGGTTTGTCGTTTCAATTCCCATCGGGGGAACAGTGCGAAAATGTAAGTTGCTCTGGATGAGCGTCTTCTAAATGACTAAAATGTAAATATTCTAAGTCACTAGATAAATTATCAATTCAGTAGTATAGTAACCCATGCTACTGTGCATGCAGTCAGTTACATAACACAAGGTCTGTTTAAAGATGGATGTAAGGTTCAGTTCTTACACAAATAGTTTGAATCGCCTTCGTTGTTCTAGTAGCCTACTTTTAGAAATCCCATGGTCGATCTCACACATTCACTTCATATTGGGTAACAAGCTCATCTAAACTTTTCTTTCCTCTATGTAAGTGAATCCTCTCAATGATTAATGATAAGCAATTAATTATTCTGATATTGCAGCTGAGGAAGAGCAAGAAAGGCAGAATAGTGAAACCAGGATCATAAATGTCCACATGCCTGGGGAAGTTGGTTCTTCAGTTTCAGGATGTCTTGCCAGTAATACATCTAAGCAGGGAGTGTTCTGTTCCAAGTCCAGTAAGTAGGGAACAGACTGCAGTACAATATCACTGATTGGAGCCTATGTGGTTACTTATGAGTGTTACCTGTGATTAGGGGTCACCTATGATCGAAGGTCACCTGATCTGACCTATGATTACAGCTCCCTGTGGTGAGCGATACCAGTGGACATGGTTCCCCTGCAGTTTCTGTTATTTATGATAAGGATTAGCCTACCTGTGATTGTGGTGGTAACCTGTGGTGTGGTTTACCTGAGCTCATTGTTACCTGCACCACACAGTCCTGAGGGTCTCCGTCCTGTGTGCATCCAGTCTCTTTTCATCCTCTGCAGCAGTCTCAGTGCTGTCATGGACACCTCGTGGTTCTTCTCCCCAAACTCCAGCATGTGGGCAAAGCGAGGGATGTACAGGCAGGGGTCTGGAATGGAAGATTGAGAAACTTTGAGATCCAACCCAGACAAGCAACATTATTGTGCTAATATATGAATTGCAGATGTCTCAATGGTATACAGCAGGGTACTGTTTACAACTGTGTGTGTACACTGTACTGTAGACATTGATCAGAAAGTGTTAGGTCTTCTTTAATTAAAATGTCAATAATATTGGATATCTTCAACTCTGCCTTTCAATCACCCAAAGCAAACTAGAGACATTCAATCTTAATCATCTCAATTTAAATGTGTTGTTTGTCTCCTTTTTGTGCGCTTTGAGATTATTTTCTGTAGTGAAAAGCACTATACAAGTTAAATTATTATTATTAAGTTATGACTGTAGGATCAAAATGACCCACTTGGCAGTGGCAGAGCCCTCTGTTGGAAAGCTGGGCCACATTCAGTTGCATATAGAAATGCCATGAATAGAGCTGATGCGATTCCTTATTCTACATGTCAGAGAGGGATGTTTTTTTCTACATAGATATAGGTTATCTGAACGTTCCAAAACGTTGCATCCTGCTGAACACGCCCCGGTAGAGCAGACTGCTGGTAATAGGATATGGCCAGAGCCCAACCCCCGTCCCTAACCACCATCTCCAAATCTACCATGGCTCCTGGGCTGGCTCTAGTCAAGTCTCTACGAAGCAAACTTCAGGAACGGTCCCCTCTCTAATCTAACGCGCCGACATTCAGCCAAGGTAAACAGAAGTGTGGTCTTCTGCTGTCAAAGCTTTTGCACGTGGCTTGCATCCAGTGGAAATAAAGTGGTGCAGTTGATGTTACTTAAACTCTGCAAAACAGGACCAAACAAAGCTCAACTAATTCAGCATCATCAAACTTTCTCACTTCTGACGAGTGGAGCTATTACACAACTAAACCAATCGGAGATTAAATTATGAATGGTTTAAATCCAAATTACGCAGTGATTACGCATAGGCTATACTCGGTCATTTAAATAAATGTATCATTACATCTGAAACAAGGACGTGGATATCATTATTTTGAGTTGGAAATGGAAACAATATTTTCACTGTGAGTTTGTGCGATCTCAGTCGGACTCTTAATGCCCATATTCGGATGTCGCATTGAATTAACGCGGCGTTCGTAACCAAGTGGGAATTGACCATATAGGACTAGGAAAAATTCACTTGAACCACCCTCCAACTGATAATTACTAGTGGGAAACTAGTTCCCACTTCTCCTACATGCTGACCTCTGACGTCACCTACTAAGGAAATGAGCTTGATGACAGCATTTTCGGTGGTTAAATACAACAAAACATTTATAAAAAGCAATCCATTAATATGGTATTTTAACTCTATAAGTTGTTTACAAGCACGATAGGTGTACTTTTAGTTTATAGTTTACATTGCTTGTTGGCCATTAGCGTTAATCAATTACTTCAAAGCACGTGAATGCATCCAACTGGTATTTACGACTTCACAAATGGTAAATTCCCACCTCCCACTTAGTTTCAAACGCAGCATTAGAGAGAGAGAGAGAGCTGGTCAGAGCTTGGGGGAGGCGCTTCTGACGTTGACGTATGCGTAAATCTGATTTGTTGTCCGCAGCGAGCTGGGCTTCCGAGAGGATTACACCAACTAAAAAAAATAGACTGCAACTAAAACCCTAGACCCGACAAATTACAATTCACATCGTATCCACACAGCAGCTACGGAGGAACCCGCGCCTTGTCCTCGTTGATAAGTAGCTTTTGGAGATAAACATCTGCCAGGATTTGCTCAGGAAAACAGCGGACTCCAAGCGAGCAACGACTTTCTGTATTTACCATCCGCACAAAAAAGGGAAACCCAATACGTTTCGGGGAGAGCTCAGTGGCAACAGAGGATAACATGAGAAAGAGAAAAAAGTATTCTGCTTGAATTTGGAATACAACCTCCCTCACTGGACGGATATTTTTTTTGTTGCTCTTACAATTGATTCGGGGTTCGTAGACTTCATATAATCGCTGAATTTATACACCATTTGCATATAAAGGACACGATTTGTGTATCAATTGTCAACGCAGATTAATAGTAGATCCTGGAGTTCGTGGTTTATTTATAGGGAAAGGACCAACGCTTTGTGTGCCAATGCCAACGGCAGATTGCAGGTTGCTCCATCATGGTCGGATCATGAAGTGTCTGACTTTTTTACTCTTACTTCCAGAAACACTGAAAAAGTCTAAAACAACTGGGAAACACACAAGCAGGTTACCAGTATGCTATGATATTCTAACCCTGACCATTAAGAAGAATATGGCTGCAGAACTGTACCCTGCGACCACCAACAGTACTACGGTGACCAGTACTGACAAGAAAAGCAATGTGCAGGTCACCCAGTCAAAAACCACTGCAACAACACCGACCACCCAGCAAAACATAAACAACAACAACGTCGATCCTCCGAGGTGGCAGTCCTCTCACCCCACGCTACGGGAGAGGTAGTCTTTAATTCTTTACTTGTATTTCATTATTTCGATTTGGTGAAAAGATTGACTTGGTTTACAATAGCTAATGTCCATAATTGGAATAACAATTTACAATGCTGCATTGTGTAGGGCAGGCTATAATATTGTCTGGCAAAAGCCCTTTATGGAATAGCCAAAGTTGTCATATCTACAGTGCTTTCGGGAAAGTATTCAGACCCCTTGACTTTTTCCACATTTTGTTACCTTACAGCCTTATTCTAAAATGGATTAAATTGTCCCCCCCACCCCCACACAATACCCCATAATGACAAAGCAAAAACAGAAATATCACATTTACATAAGTATTCAGACCCTTTACTTCAGGGTTCTTCAATTCCGGTCCTGGAGGGCCGAAATACTTCTGTTTTTTATTTCTACCTGGTAGTTAATTGCACTCACCTGGTGTCCCAGGTCTGAATTAGCCCCTGATTAGAAGGAGAGGATGAAAAACAGAGGTGTTTCGGCCCTCCAGGACCGGAATTGAAGAACCCTGCTTTACTTAGTACTTTGTTGAAGCACCTTTGGCAGCGATTACAGCATTGAATCTTGGGTATGACACTACAAGCTTGGCACACCTGTATTTCGGGAGTTTCTCCCATTGTTCTCTGCAGATCCTCTCAAGCTCTGCCAGGTTGGATGAGGAGCGTTGCTGCACAGTCATTTTCAGGTCTCTCCAGAGATGTTCGATCAGGTTGAAGTCCGGGCTCTGGCTGGGCCACTCAAGGACATTCAGAGACTTGTCCTGAAGCCACTCCTGCGTTGTCTTGGCTGTGTGCTTAGGGTTCTTGTGCTGTTGGAAGGTGAACCTCTGCCCCAGTCTGAGGTCCTGAGCGCTCTGGAGCAGGTTTTCATCAAAGATCTCTCTGTACTTTGCTCTGTTCATCTTTCCCTCAATCCTGACTAGTCTCCCAGTCCCTGCCGCTGAAAAACATCCCCATAGCATGATGCTGCCACCACCATGCTTCACCGTAGGGATGGTGCCAGGTTTCCTCCAGACGTGACGCTTGGCATTCAGGCCAAAGATTTCAATCTTGGTTTCATCAGACCAGAGAATCTTGTTTCTTATGGTCAGAGTCTTTAGGTGCCTTTTGGCAAACTCCAAGCGGGCTGTCATGTGCCTTTTACTGAGGAGTGGCTTCTGTCTGGCCACTCTACCATAAAAAGGCCTGATTGGTGGAGTGCTGCAGAGATGGTTGTCCTTCTGGAAGGTTCTCCCATCTCCACAGAGGAACTCTAGAGCTCTGTCAAGAGTGACCATCGGGTTCTTGGACACCTCCCTGACCAAGGCCCTTCTCCCCCGATTACTCAGTTTGGCTCGGCTGCCAACTCTAGGAAGAGTCTTGGTGGTTCCAAGACCTTCTTCCATTTAAGAATGATGGAGGCCACTGTGTTCTTGGGGACCTTCAATGCTGAATAATTTTTTTGGTACCCTTCTCCAGATCTGTGCCTCAACACAATCCTGTCTCGGAGCTCTATGGACAATTTCTTCGACCTCATGGCTTGGGTTTTGCTCTGACATGCACTGTCAACTGTGGGACCTTATATAGACAGGTGTGTGCCTTTCCAAATCATGTCCAATCAATTGAATTTACCACAGGTAAATCAAGTTGTAGAAACATCAAGGATGATCAATGGAAACAGGATGCACCTGAGCTCAATTTCGAGTCTCATAGCAAAGGGTCTGAATACTTACGTAAATAAGGTATCTTATTTATTTTTAATACATTTGCAAACATTTCTAAAAACCTGTTTTCGCTTTGTCATTATGGGGCATTGTGTGTAGATTAGTGAGGGAAAAAACATTTAATCCATTTTTGAATAAGGCTGTAACGTAACAAAATGTGGAAAAAGTCAAGCAATGTTTTTTTTTTTTTAAGTCAAGGGGTCTGAATATTTTCCGAAGGCACTGTAATTGACAAATCTCCTCCCTTCTAGGAATGCCTTGATGTTCAACAATGAACTCATGGCCGATATCCATTTCATTGTTGGTCCCTCTGGTGAATCTCAGAACGTGCCAGCGCACAAGGTAAGCTCCCTCTATTAGGAGAATTAAGTTGACTTTTCGGAAACATCACGCCTATGATGAGTGACTAATCATGTGTCCGTTTGTCCTTTCCTCCAGTATGTGCTGGCAGTGGGTAGCTCGGTCTTCTGTGCCATGTTTTACGGGGATCTTGCAGAGGAGGAGTCCGAAATCCATATCCCAGATGTAGAACCTGCTGCTTTTCTAATTCTGCTGAAGTAAGCCACTCACTCACTCCTCATATTAACCATGACCAGCACAATGTCACGTCAAAATAAATTATTACTCATCCAAAGCAAGACAAGTGACAAAATGCTAGATCACCAAAGGGCACGGGGAGCAGTGTAGAGAACTGTAATTGCTGGTTTCTTTGTTCATCTTGAAAAATGTCTAATTCAAAGCCAATGATTTACCCAGAGGGTATAGGCAGTCTAGAGGATAATTACTATTTTTGTTGATACTATAACAATCGTCATCCGACGCAAATGCAATGAGACGTTGCTACTTTTTATCCACCTGGGAGAATAGTGGAAGCTGTGCCAAGTCCTCATCCTATTTTCCTAGAAGGAATAGCAACGTCTCAGAATGAATTCTCCACGTGCTGATTTGCCTTCTTTACTAAACCAGAATCTCATTCTACTCCTCCATTTTGTCCCCTTCAGGTACATGTACAGTGATGCGATAGACCTGGAGGCAGACACCGTGCTGGCCACCCTGTACGCTGCCAAGAAGTACATTGTACCAGCACTGGCAAAGGCCTGCGTCACCTTCCTGGAGACCAGCCTGGAGGCCAAGAATGCCTGTGTGCTGCTGTCCCAGAGCCGTCTGTTTGAGGAGCCTGAGCTGATGCGGCGCTGCTGGGAGGTGATTGACGCGCAGGCCAAGCTGGCCCTGGGCGCCGAGGGCTTCTGTGAGATCGACCTGCAGACCCTGGAGATCATCCTGCAGAGAGAGACCCTCAACACCAAGGAGGTGGTGGTCTTTGATGCTGTCATGAGTTGGGCCACAGCAGAGTGTAAGAGGCAAGGACTGGGGGCAACCACCCGCAACAAGAGATCTGTCCTGGGCAAGGCACTCTACCTGGTGCGCATCCCCACTATGACCCTGGAAGAGTTCGCCGATGGTGCAGCCCAGTCAGACATCCTGACACTGGAGGAGACGCATGACGTCTTCCTGTGGTACACAGCGGCCACCAAGCCCAAACTGGTCTTCCCACTGGCACAGAGGCAGGGCCTGGCGCCCCAGAGGTGCCACCGCTTCCAGTCATCAGCCTACCGGAGCAACCAGTGGCGCTACAGGGGCCGCTGTGACAGCATCCAGTTTGCAGTGGACAAGCGGATCTTTATCGCTGGACTGGGCCTGTACGGGTCAAGTGGCAGGAAGGCAGAGTACAGTGTCAAGATTGAACTGAAGCGTCAACGGGTGACCCTAGCACAGAACCTGACCAAGTTTGTATCGGACGGATCAAGCAGTACATTTTCTGTATGGTTTGAAAACCCGGTTCAGGTGGAGCAGGATGTCTTCTATACGGTGAGTGCCGTGCTGGACGGGAATGAGCTGAGCTATTTCGGCCAGGAGGGCATGACGGAGGTGCAGTGTGGAAAAGTGACATTTCAGTTCCAGTGCTCCTCGGACAGTACCAACGGGACTGGGGTGCAGGGGGGACAGATCCCAGAGCTGGTGTTCTATGCATAAACTGGACTGGTCATATAGGACAAGTAGAGGACATATGGACTGTACATCCATATGTTCAAGCCTTATAAATAATGTAGCATTAAGACACTACGGTATGTCACACTAAACAAAATACTATTTTTAAGTGAAGGAATGTTGTTTTCTTATTTATTTTTTAAACGGTTATTTTAATTGTTAACTCTGCAAAAAGCACCCTTGTAAAAAGTCGTATTGCACCGTTGTTGTTTTTGTACATAAAGTACGGTTATATGGTTTGCAGCTTGATGCTGATCAATCCTGACGTTCTGTGCGAGAGCTTATGAACCTGCAGAAAATCATAAAAGTTATGCAAGATAAACCACATATGTTGCTGCTCATCATTATATAACTTGCTTGCACGTGTGAAATTTGTTTTGGTGGGATTATTATTGGAGGGATTATTTTGGTGTTAGAGCACCCTCTAGGTACACCGAGGAGTGCTACAGGCAGGTTGGTCAAAACTTCAACCTTTGTTGGAGCAAAGAGTGGTAAATAGGTTGGATTCTCAGTAGCAAGACAACACTTAAACCAACAGCATTTCTCCAAAAAAGACTCATTCAACGGTATGGTTCTTTGTTAACAATAGCAACACAGGGAGTATTGCAGGGAGACGGTAGGTACCTATGGCAGGGGCATTGATGCAGAGCTCTCTGGCCAGGACCAGGAAGGTTCTACCCAGGACGTAAACATTTACCTGAGGGAAAAGAGAATGAAGAGCAGAAATACAGGAGGGTAGTGCAACTTCCACTGACACCCAACCTGTCAAGTCCACAATGTCCTCATAACATGATCCAGTTACATAACATTCGAGTAGCCCATGATCAAATCTGGTCTAGTAAGTGTTACTCAATGCTAAGTTGGCGTACTATTTAGAAAGCCCAGACTAAAGCTCTAGTTTCTAGCCCATGATCTCCGAGCATCTCATTCCCTTAGGGCAGTGTTTCCCAAACTAGGTCCTGGAGCCCACCCTGGGTGCATGTTTAGTTTTTTGCCCTAGCACTACACAGCTGATAATCAAAGCTTGATGGGAGGTGGGTCACAATGCCTTCCCATGGGAGAGGGGGGCAGTGATCACTGGCCTGGGTGGGGCGCCACAAACTGGGGATTGGGTGAGTATCTACCCATAGCACACTGATCCTATACTGGACAGACCCCACTCCACTCCTACCCTTCAAATACCGGGGGGTGGAAGAGCTGACCCTCCCAAGGACAGCTGGGAGCATAAAAATAAAAGTGACCAGCTGTGTCTCTGAGAAATGTCCCTCCACCCTAACTATATACGCATAAACAATGTCTGCCTATATTTATACAGTCCTTGGCTTTAGTTACAAAGCTCAACATACTGCATGGGCCAACATCCATCTTGTTGGTTGTTATATCATGGCCAGTGTGGGCATGGGATCATGTATACTTAAACAAAACAAAAAAACATCCTTGATGTATCCAACTGTTCAATTATATTCAGAAGAGCTTTTTATTTCTCGAAAAAAGGGATAAATGTCAATGTCGCGAAGCGCAAACACTCGATCACAGAGTTGAAGAAAGATGGAGAAAAATGACAGTGTAGGCCTACTCATTGGAAACTCACCTGCAAGAGGTCACTGAGGTCAAGCAGCATGTCTGTAAAGGGGTGGGTTAAATCAATAAAACCACAGGATAGTACACTGTACACAATTGCATCATTTGGGTTTCCTTTCTCCGCAAATGGTACAGCCAAGTGTGATTGTTATTTTCAATAAAAAGTATTTCGCACTTCCTAACCAGCATTCATTAATACAATATTACATTAGATGTTAGAATATCAAATACATTTTCAGAATCATTTCTTTTGCAGCCAACAGTGTACATGAATTGAATGTGATCTGAAAATGTCATGTGATCTCAGGCCAGCAGCATTTCTACTGAGCAACAGCTTCTGGGGGATCAGCCACCCCCTTTGACCTCTGAACCCCCCCCCCCCCCCAAATCATCAGCCTCTGGAGACACCTGTCTCCTGGCGACCAACACAGCCCTTGCATCAGTCTCCGTGGTGACAGGTGCATGTGTCCACGGGCGGCCAAAGCGGATTAGCGACAACCCTTTTTAAAAAGCCTCACAATGGGATTATGGTCACCACTGAAATGGAAAAAATAATCCCACAGTCTGGAGATGAGATTACAGACAAGTCATCATAATAATAAAAACAAGTCCCTCTGTGCAGCTGATTTTCTAAGAGATAATAATGGTTGCTACAAGCATCCTGTTTTGCCATTTCAGTAGTATGGGGAGGGAGGGAGCTTACTTCCAAGCCCTGCCTGTAAAACGTGTGGAGGTTTCATTTTGACGTGAATACTTGGCTGTCATTCATCAAGGTCATGGATGTGGCCATAACCTGGCCCTTCCCAACAATAGCACCTGTGAGAATGATCCCATTAAATGTATTAACTAACTAGCATTTAATTGAGGGTCCCCTGAGCAATCATTGCAAATATCCAGATGTCCCTCCACTGAGCTACATGCCATTTCAGCTGCTATACACTGAACAAGGTTTGCCTCGTTTCCTTGTTCTCTCCTCATAATGCCAGTCCTCTGTGACAATTCTAGATTGTTTTCCCCAGTTGTGGAAAAGGAAGTGGAGTGGAGGCATTTTTACTTTATCCAACCCTCACCCACCGACCCACTCACGTAAACAATGTAATGGGAAAGGCTTTGCTCTGCTCCCTCCACCCTCTTCTTCTAGCAGATAAAACTGTCCCCTGCCTTTCCTGTGAAACCACTGGCTGTTACATACCCACGTCACGATAAACCAACAGCCGCAAAATGATGGGATATAAAAAGCTGATCTGCTTAACATTAAGACAGTACAGAAAGGGGTATTGAGCGAAACGCAACCAGGCATTAACACAATTCATGTCTAAAACTACTACAACTCCTGGAGATTGATGCTACAGCTACATATACACTGTACAGTGCATTCTAGGGCTGTCCCCGACTAAAAAAAATATTGGTAGATCAAGAGTCGTCTGTTCTTTTGACCAATTGATTGGTTGACACTTTTAAACGTGTATCTTTCCATATATTGACACATCCTATGTGTTTTAATCAAATCAACTATATTCACCGAGCTTGTCTTATGCTTTAAGTTTGATTAAATAATTAAGACACAAATGACTAGTGAGTCCGACCTTCAATTGATTTGATTGTGCAGGGCCGGGCTCAGACTTGCTGCGCTGTGTTAGAAAAAAAGACAGCGAGTGACTGACTAGCACCCGTTGTCTCTCTCGCCTCCCTGCTGCATCGACCACCAAAGCGTTTATCGCGCTGTCCGTGTTGCTGAAGCTGCAACATAATTACAGCCATTTCTGACTGAAAGGTTCTGTTAACGAAATCCCTCATTTGTTTAGGAAAAACTCCCTATTCCCTCAACCCTTGCTCTCTTTACGTGACACATGTATGCATCGCATGCACGTGACCTAAGACCTATTCGCACGGGACTAGTATTACTAGAGAACGTTGGTTATGTCATTACTACTCCAGAATGTCAGTTATTCCAGAGGATGATTTGGACGGGATTCATTTTTTCCAAACTGCCCCTGTAATTCTTTATTTTCTTCCCAATAAATTGACAGTTATGACACAAGCCTGGAGGTTTTTATTCTAGGTGTGAAGATATAGTATTTCAACATGTCCAGGTGATAGGGCCACACTGATAACTCGAGCTTGGTTCCCAAGTTTCTAAACCATACCACACCATCTCCTCATTCTGCTGCTGCCTCCAGCATTGTTCTCAACACCAATAAGCTGGTTTACTTTGCTATTATGCACATAGCAACATGGTCTAGACGCCAATTCAACAGCACACTGAGGTGTTTCAGAACCATGAACAGCGACCGCTATCCAACGAGGGAAAAAGCGCATGTTATAAAATAATATAATTTTTATTAGTGTTGCACCATTGTTCTTATGTAATATAACCATATACAATTTCAGTAGCCCATCTTAGACTGATGGACTGTTCCATCCCCACGGCCTCCACAATGGTTCAGTCCACGCAGCACGGATCAGACAGATGTCTTGTACACCATGAGATAGATTTATTTTTGTATTATTATTTTTTGCTCCTGCTCGACTAAAGAAATCTCAGTCGACCGACAGCCTATCGACCAAACAGTTGACTAGTCAACTAAATGGGGTCAGCCCTACCTAGCGCATTCGGAAAGTTTTCAGACCCCTTTACTTTTTCCACATTTTGTTACGTTACAGCCTTATTCTAAAATTGATTCAATTGTTTTTTTCCTTTATCAATGTACACACAACACCCCATAATGACAAAGCAATATCAGGAGAAATTTTTTGGGGGGGAATAAGGCTGTAACGTAACAAAATGTGGAAAAGGGGAAGGGGTCTGAATGCACTGTATATACACAAACGTATGTGGACACCCCTTCAAATTAGTGGATTCGGCTATTTCAGCCACACCTGTTGCTGACAGGTGTATAAAATTGAGCACACATCCATGCAATCGCCATAGACAAATATTGGCAGAAGAATGGCCTTACTGAAGAGCTCAGTGACATTCAACGTGGCACCGTCATAGGACGCCACCTTGCCAACAAGTCAGTTCGTGAAATTTCTGCCCTGCTAGAGCTGCCCCGGTCAACTGTAAGTGCTGTTATTGTGAAGTGGTTACGTCTAGGAGCAACAACGGCTCAGCTGCTAAGTGGTAGGCCACACAAGCTCACAAAATGGGACCACTGAGTGCTAAAGCACATAGCACGTAAAAATTGTCTGTTCTCGGTTGCAACACTCACTACCGAGTTCCAAACTGCCTCTGGAAGCAATGTCAGCACAATAACTGTTAGTCGGGAGCTTCATGAAATGGGTTTCCATGGCCAAGCAGCCGCACACAAGCCTAAGATCACCATGCGTAATGTCAAGCGTCGGCTGGAGTAGCGTAAAGTTCGACGCCATTGGACTCTGGAGCTATGGAAACGTGTTCTCTGGAGTGATGAATCACGCTTCACCATCTGGCAGTCAGACAGATTAATCTGGGTTTGGCGGATGCCAGGAGAACGCTACCTGCTCAAATGCATAGTGCCAACTGTAAAGTTTAGTGGAGGAGGAATAATGGTCTGGGGCTGTTTTTCATGGTTCGGGCTAGGCCCCTTAGTTCCAGTGAAGGGAAATATTAACGCAACAGCATACAATGACATTCTAGACAATTCTGTGCTTCCAACTTGGTGGCAACAGTTTGGGGAAGGCCATTTCCTGTTTCAGCATGACAATGCCCCTGTGCACAAAGCGAGGTCCATACAGAAATGGATTGTTGAGATCGGTGTGGAAGAACTTGACTGGCCTCACAGAGCCCTGACCTCAACCCCATCGAACACCTTTGTGATGAATTGGAACGGCAACTACCAGCCAGGCCTAATCGCCCAACATCAGTGCTCGACCTCACTAATGCTCGTGGCTGAATAGAAGCAAGTCTCCACAGCAATGTTCCAACATCTAGTGGAAAGCCTTCCCAGAAGAGTGGAGGCTGCTATACCAGCAAAGGGGAGACCAACTCCATATTAATGCCCATGATTTTGGAATGTGATGTTCGACGAGCAGGTGTCCACATATTTTTGATCATGTAGTGTATTATGGTAAAAACTATTTGGTTGTAGCGTAAACATTTTGCATTCTCCATTCCCCTTTTTTTAAATTGTCCCCTTCCCTCCTTCCTCTGTTACTCTCCCACCGCTCTCTGCAGTGTGAAAGGATACGAGGTGTCCCTTCCGTCCTGCAGACCAGGTAGAGGCATGCAGCCACCACGTGGGTCACCCTTCGGCCCCGTGTCAGGCGTTTACACACAGCCATCTTGTAGAAGTTGAATGCCGTGTCCATGCAGTGCTGGTTCAGCTGCAACTGGTGGCCCACTGTGTTGATCTGACGTCTCCCTGGAGACAAACACAGGCATGTTATTACACACACGTCGAAGTCGTACACACTCAAACGCACCCTCATATGCACTTAGGGTATATAATAAACAGAGTAGACAAAGACCCACACTATTGAAAGAGATTGTAATTACCCTGAGGTTCAGTTCAGGTGTTTCGAGATCAGTGTGTCCTTTGATCGCCTGATGAACTTTGCATGAAAACACTCAGACATTACACACAATTAGATGTCCCAGTGAATACACACAGGTACTCGTGAGATGTGTGTGGCAAACTACTGCTGCTGAGGTAATGCAACATCTTACAGTGATTAAATATCCCCCCTGCTTTGCTGAACAGATGTCTTCAGATTATAGGGCATCTGAACATCACCAGCATTACTCATACCACTCCCTCCTCATTCCCCTCTCCTCCTCAAGTTGTCTGACAAACTAAAGATCCTGATTTCTATACAGCCTTGTCTATTCATCTTCCAAACCCCAACCAGCATTATCAACTGGTACATTTGTGACAGCTGGATAAAATCTAACCACCCTGTTGGACATTGTGAGGAGACGTGATGAGTTAAGGCGGGGGTGGGGACGGGCGTGCCAATGATTCCAGGCATTAATCAGAGTGTGGGTGGGTGGGTGAGCAGAGGGTGGCCTGGCCAGACACTTGGGATGTTTATGGAGGAGAGAGTTCCCTCACAGCACACTCTTTCTCTCAGAGTGCCATAGACACTATAAATCTCCCCACAGCATGACAGACCTATTACCCCATACAAACTCACACACAGCTGTATCCATGTCTCTCTGTTCCTCTTACACACATATTAGTCATCGTCCACCAAGTCTGACTAACGTCTGTCTCGCCTCTACACACACACTCTGACAGCGCTGTGTTTGCAAGCCCCACACACACTCTACTGCTTAGCAGTTAGCCAGCACTGTATTGATCATCAGTACCATGGGAGCAGCAGACGATTACTCACATTAGGTTACTGGGAGATAACTGAGTACAAGAAATGTTATGGCTGAGTAAAAGTAACTTCCAAATAAACGTGACTAAACAAACAGGAAATCATCAAAACTAGGCAACACAGACTGACTGAATGTGTCCGACCAGACAAAGGAAATGAATGACGTTAGCCCTTTCCTGAGGCATTCAAGCATGCGATGGATGTTTGCCTTTGCCAACCAAGCTCTGCTGTAGACACACCCTGTTAATCTCTCATTGGACATTAAAGGAAATGGGTTGTCCCTACCAAGTTTGTTGTGCTTCTGAAATAAGGTGGCGATACAGATGCCACTTTAACAGGGGAAGAGGACCATGTAAAGCAGATGGTATCAGTTTAGTTTGTCTAGTATAAGGCAAAATGCTTTACTTTCAAGACATCATGAAAGACAGCATTCAAAACAAAGGTTAATATCCTAGCGCACCCACATTTATTGAGGATTAGGCCTGCTGTAAGTGTAATGAGTTCTTATGATGCATGCACACCCATGCTTTAGGAACGCAAGTGGTGACCCCTAATGTTGACTCACCGTTCTGCAGGGTCTGGGCCTGGGACTCCCTTCCAACGCCTGTACAGAACCCATCCCCAAAAGTGGGGTTCCTTCCTGAGGCTATAAATACAGGAGAAAAAGAGAAGTGTTACATCACATGACACATCACGTGGCTTTTTGTAGAGAAATTAACATTCAATTCTCTGACAAAAGCTCTGGTGGACATTCCTGCAGTCAGCATGCCAATTGCGCACTCCCTCAAAACCTGAGATATCTGTGGCATTGTGTTGTGTGACAAAACTGCACATTTTAGAGTGGCCTTTTATTTAGCAGTCTTATGTCTTGGGGGTAGAAGCTGTTCAGGGTCCTGTTGGTTCCAGACTTGGTGCATCGGTACCGCTTGCCGTGCAGTAGCAGAGAGAATAGTCTATGACTTGGGTTACTGGCGTCTTCAACCATTTTTATGACTTTCCTCGGACACCGCCTGGTATCAAGGTTTTGGATGGCAGGGAGCTCGTCCCCAGTGATTTATTGGGCCGTCAGCACTACCCTCTGTAGCGCTTTGCGGTCAGATGCCAAGCAGTTGCCATACCAAGCGGTGTGCAGCCAGTCAAGATGCTCTCAATGGTACAGCTGTACAACTTTTTGAGGATCTGAGGGCCCATGCCAAATCTTTTCAGCCTCCTGAGGGGGAAGAGGCATTGTCGAGCCCTCTTCACAACTGTGTTGGTGTGTTTGGACCATGATAGATCCTTAGGGATGTGGACACCGAGGAACTTGAAGCGCTCGACCCGCGCCACTACAGCACCGTCGATGTGAAGGGGGCGTGCTCGGCCCTACATTTTCTGAAGTCCACGGTCAGCTCCTTTGTCTTGCTGATGTTGAAGGAGAGGTTATTTTCCTGGCACCACTCCACCAGGGCTCTAATGTCCTCCCTGTATGCTGTCTCGTTGTTGTTGGTAATCAGGCCTACCACTGTTTACATTTACATTTTAGTCATTTAGCAGACGCTCTTATCCAGAGCGACTTACAGTTGTGCCGTCAGAAAATCTTGATGATTTAGTCGGAGACGTGCGTGGCCACGCAGTCATGGGTTTACAGGAAGGGGCTCAGCACACACCCTTGTGGGGCCTCCGGGTTGAGAATCAGCGTGGCAGAGGTGTTGTTGCCTACCTTCACCACCTGGGGTCGGCCCGTCAGGAAGTCTAGGACCCAGTTGCACAGGGAAGGGTTCAGACCCAGGGTCCTGAGCTTAGCGATGGAGGGCACTATGGTGTTGAAGGCTGAGCTGTAGTCAATGAACAGCATTCTTACATCCTCTTGTTCAGGTGGGATAGCGCAGTGTGCAGTGCAATGGCGATTGTGTCGTCCGTTGATCTGTTGGGGCGGTGTGCAAATTGTAGTGGGTCTAGGGTGTCAGGTAAGGTGGAGGTGATATGATCATTAACTAGCTTCTCAAAGCACTTCATGATGACAAAAGTGAGATCAATGGGGGGATAGTCATTTAGGTCAGTTCCCTTCGCTTTCTTGGGTACAGGAACAATGGTGGCCATTTTTAAGCAAATGGGGTAAGTCTGCTATAGTTTCAATTACTAAAATGGCAAATGCTGCTGTAATAAAATATAGGATAGATAATATCATGCGGACACAATGCTAGCACATGTGAGTGTTGTTTCCTCGCGTGACAGCAAATTGTTCACCAAGGGCGCTCACCTCAAACTCACGTTAATACAACACTGCACTCTAGTGGGGAGACAGGGGAACTAAACAGATGTGCAGGAAAAATTCCACCAAACCACAATGCCAGTCTACAGCCGATTGTCCCTTCTGCACAGTCAGCTGAAAGGCTCAGTGGTGTGTATTCATGGTTGCCAAGGGAAGCCAGGCTTTCCCAAATATTTAACCAATAAAACATTTTCAATTATAACAAATATTTATCTTTCCATAATTTTCCATCAATTCGCAAATGTCTCAGTATGTGTAGCCCATGTATCTGATGATGTCTGGAACAAAAGAGTATGACATGTTGCCGCTGTTGCATTTGTCCTCCCTTGATTAATTTTTTAAATAAAATAATTAGCCAATCACCCCCAAGGGAGGCCAGTTTGGATTTGGCTTCACACCAATCAAATCACATCCTAAGCAAAACATCATCATGGACAGAAAAACATGTCTGCTTGTGTTGATGTCCTGCAGTATCTAGCTGGCTAAATCAGCCCTTTTCTAAGTCATGGATGGAGATGAGGATTTGGACTTGTGGTCTCTGTACAGGCCAATGACTATGACAACGATTCTGATCTAACCATAAATTCATATATTGCGCCACTGACCTGAGAAGATTGAAGTTCAATATGTAGCCTAGATGTAGCCTAGTAGGCTCACGTTAACTATACTGAACAAAAATATAAACCCAACAAATTCAAAGATTTTTCTGAGTTACAGTTCATAGAAGGAAATCAGTCAATTGAAATAAATTCATTAGGCCCTAATTTATGGATTTCATACGATTGGGCATGGGCGCAGCCATGGGTGGGTCTAGGAGGGCATAGGTCCCCCACAGACGATCCCGCAGGTTAAGAAGCCGGATGTAGAGGTCCTGGGCTGGCATGGTTACACGTGGTCTGCGGTTGTGAGGCCGGTTGGACGTACTGCCAAATTCTCTAAAATGACATTGGAGGCAGCTTATGGTAGAGAACATTTCTGGGATCTTTTATTTCAGCGCATGAAACATGGGACCAACATTACATGTTGCGTTTATATTTATGTTCAGTATAGCTAGCTAACTCAGCTGGTCCATTGTTGCCCATGCGAGGAAGTTAGGCTAGCAAGCATTTTAGCTAGGTAGCCTATGACAAAAACTAAAAAAATATTTTTACTTGCGCACACACAGAAATAAGTACCATGGACAGCCACATGATATTTAGCTAAATTAATTGGACTAAACTGTTTTTGGTAATTGGCATGTTTAAGTTTGTTTTCAGTATTTTAAACTAAGTACACTGCTCAAGAAAATAAAGGGAACACTAAAATAACACATCCTAGATCTGAATGACTGAAATAATCTTATTAAATACTTTTTTCTTTACATAGTTGAATGTGCTGATAACAAAATCACACAAAAATGATCAATGGAAATCAAGTTTATCAACCCATGGAGGTCTGGATTTGGAGTCACCCTCAAAATTAAAGTGGAAAACCACACTACAGGCTGATCGAACTTTTATGTAATGTCCTTAAAACTCAAATGAGGCTCAGTAGTGTGTGTGGCCTCCACGTGCCTGTATGACCTCCCTACAACGCCTGGGCATGCTCCTGATGAGGTGGCGGATGGTCTCCTGCGGGATCTCCTCCCAGACCTGGACTAAAGCATCCGCCAACTCCTGGACAGTCTGTGGTGCAACGTGGCGTTGGTGGATGGAGCGAGACATGATGTCCCAGATGTGCTCAATTGGATTCAGGTCTGGGGAACGGGCGGGCCAGTCCATAGCATCAATGCCTTCCTCTTGCAGGAACTGCTGACACACTCCAGCCACATGAGGTCTAGCATTGTCTTGCATTAGGAGGAACCCAGGGCCAACCGCACCAGCATATGGTCTCACAAGGGGTCTGAGGATCTCATCTCGGTACCTAATGGCAGTCAGGCTACCTCTGGCGAGCACATGGAGGGCTGTGCGGCCTCCCAAAGAAATGCCACCCCACACCATGACTGACCCACCGCCAAACCGGTCATGCTGGAGGATGTTGCAGGCAGCAGAACGTTCTCCACGGCGTCTCCAGACTCTGTCACGTCGGTCACATGTGCTCAGTGTGAACCTGCTTTCATCTGTGAAGAGCACAGGGCGCCAGTGGCGAATTTGCCAATCTTGGTGTTCTCTGGCAAATGCCAAACATCCTGCACGGTGTTGGGCTGTAAGCACAACCCCCACCTGTGGACGTCGGGCCCTCATACCACCCTCATGGAGTCTGTTTCTGACCGTTTGAGCAGACACATGCACATTTGTGGCCTGCTGGAGGTCATTTTGCAGGGCTCTGGCAGTGCTCCTCCTGCTCCTCCTTGCACAAAGGCGGAGGTAGCAGTCCTGCTGCTGGGTTGTTGCCCTCCTACGGCCTCCTCCACGTCTCCTGATGTACTGGCCTGTCTCCTGGTAGCGCCTCCATGCTCTGGACACTACGCTGACAGACACAGCAAACCTTCTTGCCACAGCTCGCATTGATGTGCCATCCTGGATGAGCTGCACTACCTGAGCCACTTGTGTGGGTTGTAGACTCTGTCTCATGCTACCACTAGAGTGAAAGCACCGCCAGCATTCAAAAGTGACCAAAACATCAGCCAGGAAGCATAGGAACTGAGAAGTGGTCTGTGGTCACCACCTGCAAAACCAGTCCTTTATTGGGGGTGTCTTGCTAATTGCCTATAATTTCCACCTGTTGTCTATTCCATTTGCACAACAGCATGTGAAATGTATTGTCAATCAGTGTTGCTTCCTAAGTGGACAGTTTGATTTCACAGAAGTGTGATTGACTTGGAGTTACATTGTGTTGTTTAAGTGTTCCCTTTATTTTTTTGAGCAGTGTATATATAGCCTTGTTGATTTGATGATGTTTAAATGTTTAAGTTGAAATGGTGCTGGAATAGCGGAGGCAGTGCTCCTGTTGTCTTTGTGCTGACTTGCAGTAGCCAACTCAGCGGTTCTAAATCAGTAGTTGTTTAGTAAACTGTCAAAAACATTAACTTGCTTGAACATGCTGCAGGTCATATAACTGTTTGTTACATGCAATATTTGCTTTGTGGACTTCACTGGACAGATGTTGCTCTTCGGTCTTGTGAGGAAACAAACAAATGTATTCCACCACTATGTGACTATTGTCTTTTTGTTGTCACGGCCTTATTGTATATCACGTGGTGTATGAACTAATCGGTTATAGCACAAACAATGCAAATATCACAACATAGGTTGTAATATGGCTTTCTTACTGGCTTGGCTTCCTCAGTGATATTACCCACGCACCGCTACTGAAAAGGCTAACCAGGGCCATGCACTCTGCAAATATACCATTCTGGAATCAAAGTGACTAACTTAATTATGTCATGAAAATGTGCAGGAATAAAGGGATATAAAAGTTTGTTATACTTCTTATAAGCAATGTCTCTTAGCTCTCGAAAACCCTTTCAGCGGTTAGCTTCGCCCACGGCTGGCTCTGTGTTAACTACAATTCCAACGATGTGTTTCAACATTTAGAAACTTAAATAATCGCTTGCTAAACGCTTTTCGAAACATATGGCCCTTATCTTTCATATCTGCGAGAAATAATATTTTAAATCAAAAATATATGCTTACTGTATCTGATTTGCACAGATCCATACACTATGTGTGCCTCCAATTGACGAACTACACTTCCCCCAGAGTTAAGCTAACACACAGGTGTTCAGAGCATTAGCACAGGTGGTAACTGCCTGTTTTCCGTAAACAAGCGCTGTAACATGGAGATATGGCCATGGAGGTATGAAGTAATTATTTTGCGCCGATATGAAAGATACGTTCCATATGTTTCCAAATTTTGATTTGATTTGAAAACGTACCGCGAGCGATGCGTGTTAACGTTTAGAGCAAGCGTCGGGGCTCTTAACAAAATAAAATACCTTCATCAATAGGCGCTAAAGGTAGTTACCATCTACGAATGGGCTACGTCTCTCTTAGAATAACGTAGCTCTTGTCATTATAACCGAACTACAGTGCATCTGCACCTACCATCTCCAGCTACAAACTGTCCCACAGCAGAGGAGCCGCCCCCTCCTGTCTCCATGAACTGGACCTCGGATACGATAATGTTGTCCTCCAGGACCGAGCCACAGCCCACGCACACGGCATCGCCCCTGGCCTGGTCCACATCGATGTCCGTGCCCCCACAGTTCTTACACACTCTTGAACTCATGGTGAAGTCTGCTCACACGGCTCAGCCTGGGCAACAGAGAAGAGACAGGCCACATTTTTGTGAAAGACACATTTTGTAGACATCATATGAAACGGTTGCAATTACACATTATGTCATTGATTCTTCCAGCCAAAAGGTGGTGGCCTAGCAGGCATAACCTACTGCCACAACAGTTACATAAACTGAAACTGCATGAGTGACTGCATATCACGTTTGGAAATAATTACTATCACAATAATATGATGCCGAAGAAGCTAGCTTAACACTTTCTTAAATCCTCTGTCACCTGACCCTGGAGCGCTTGGGGGACATAATTTCGGCACTACACCCCTAGCTAACGTTACGTGGCAAAGCCTGGTGGTAATTTATCTAACTAGCTTGCTGTACATTTAAGTGTCATTTCTATAGGATGCGCTGGTAGTGGTCCAATGATCTTGCCATTTCCGTCAATGACTGTACCGCAAGTTTAATTTCTTACCTAGATGCTGAATAAACAAACAACCCCGTCTTAAGTCTTCACTAGCCGTGAGGGTTGGAACAGCTGACAGCAAACTTGCTAGAATCCACTAGGTTAGGCTTTAGTACTAAAAATACATATGTGTAGCATAATGGGTAACATGGTTTCCAAAGGGTGGTGATGAATTGTTGAGAAAATACTGGATAATGAATACGCACCAGCCAATTCAGAGGCGATGCTGCTGACAGCGATATGGCTAGCAAGCTTTAGCTAGCAAGTTTCCCGAGCAGATTTCCAAGCCAGCGCGTCAGCGAAATCTATTTAAGTCCTCTAAATCTATTTAAATGTTTTGTAGTGACTGGACATAATGTATCTAGTCTAAATGTACTGTTAATTGGGTTCTAAACCACACGTTATTTACTGTAATGAGGTAGCTAGTTAGTGATTACCATGCATGTAATCCTTGTTCTAACCTCATTGCCCAGCCAACATGTGCGTTTTCATGCTTGGGAAATGGATTGGTCCACTGATTTTCTAGGGTGATACGGCCAGTAGTGATAATTCTCTATCTCTTTATTACATAAATATGTCACGAGAGAATGTACTTCCTACCTTATACGTGATTGGCAAGATATTTGTTGACCCAGTATATTAACAAACAAAAAACTCGTTATGCTCAAATCTAAAAGATACAAAACTCTGCTACTGCAAACCCCTGCTTTCAGCGCCACATGATAGCGACCCCTAATACACAGTTATATCACTGAATGCAATGTACTGACCTTTTTAAAGAGACACGACCCTAAATCATTGTCTTGTGATCTTGCTTTTCAGTGTCATCATAATCTCATTCTAAACATATGATATACTTTTTTGACACCACAATCCACAAAGCAAGTCCTGCAGGCTCCAGTTTTATCTTATCTTGATTATTGTCCGGTCATATGGTCAAGTGCTGCAAAGAATAGTCCTAGTTAAGCTGCAGTTGGCCCAGAACAGAGCCGCAAGTCTTGCTCTTCATTGTAATCAGAGGGCTAATATTAATACTATGCTTGCCAGTCTCTCTTGGCTAAGAGTTGAGGAAAGTCTGACTGCGTCACTTTTTGTTTTTATAAGAAACATTGTTTTGGAAATTCAGAATTGTTTGCATAGTCAACTTACACACAGCACTGACACACACACTTACCCCACCAGACATGCCACCAGGGGTCTTTTCAGTCCCCAGGTCCAGAACAAATTCAAGGAAACGTACAGTATTATACAGAGCCATGAGTGCATGGACCTCCCTTCCATCTTATACAGGCAAATGAACAGCAAACCTGGTTTCAAAAAACAAATAAAGCAACACCTCATGACAGAAAGCCTCTCCCCCATGTGACCTACTTGTTGTGTGTATGTACTGACATGTATGTGTAACTGATAGATGCACACACACACACTACATGTTAATGTTTTTAAATATATGTAAATTGTAAAGTATTTTGTCTGTAGTCTTTTTCATCGGCTAATGGGGATCCTAAAAAATCTCAAATGTATTTGTCCAACGGGTGGTTTACATTTCTTTATTGCTCTGACCTTTTAACCTGTAATCCAAATTACCTGTGGGCTGTTTAAATTGGCGTTTTAAAATTATTATTGACCTTTCATTTAATAATGCAATGTTCATTGTCATGGTTTCCATGATTTGTAAATACACAATTTATGAGAAAAGACAGTTACAAACTATTTCATTTATTGAGTTAAAATAATGGACATTTCTTGACACATACAATTATAAATTGTTATAGGATTACTATTAGGACAGTGACTGTAATAAAGGAGACCATAAAGTGCAGTGGTACTTACCATAACTGCTAAATGTGTAAATTTGACAAAGAAATCTAGTGCAAAACTCCCAATTTCAACTTGAGTGAACACTGAATGTAGATAACAGAAATAATTGAGTCTAGCCATCTCAAATACTGCTGCATCATGCAGAAACAGTTTCTATGTACAGCATCAGGGCATTCAAATAAGCCTGTAGATCACTTCAGAACCGTAGGGCAAGGATGTATACAAAATTGCATGAATTCAAATAGTAATGCATCTTACGCCTCATGTCCACTGAGATCCGGCAGAAGTAATTCATTGTCAATGGAGCAGGCTGCACAAGGCTGCGGTGCGTTCCGTGTACCGCAGCAGTTTAATATTTTCAACTCGTGTGTGGCTTTACAGTGCGGTGGAACAAACGGAAGTACACAGACTCCAACTAGCTAGCTTTTATCTAGTTGAAAAGCAAAGTACATGTGCGTCAAAAACGGTAAATGCGGCAAAAAAAAACGCATGCACTGCATCGCAGTACTACATTTTACATTTTTGTCATTTAGCAGACGCTCTTAACCAGAGCGACTTACAGTTAGTGAGTGCATACATTTTCATACTGGCCCCCCGTGGGAAACAAACCCACAACCCTGGCGTTGCAAGCGCCATGCTCTACCAGCTGAGCTACAGGGGACCCCTATATGACAAGGGAACAACAGTACCACCTTTATCATTGTCAATAATTCCACTTTGCCCATATTGTTGATGAAGAATGTTAAGCTCACTGGTGTGAGACCAGTAGTACTACATTTTACATTTTTGTCATTTAGCAGACGCTCTTAACCAGAGCGACTTACAGTTAGTGAGTGCATACATTTATTTAAATTTTTTATACTGGCCCCTTGTGGGGTGTCACTACAGATCCGGGTTCGATCCCGGGCTGTGTCGCAGCTGGCCGCGACCCATGAGGCGGCACACAATTGGCCCAGCATCGTCCGGCACCTCCGTACCTTCGGGCTCTGATCAGTCCCTACACCCAAACGAGGGCATTGCGTTCATCCACCTCTGGCCTGCTGGCTCCCCTTCCTCTGCGGAAGCATAGTTCCCGCTCAGCCCAGTCAAAACTGTTCGCTGCTCTGGCACCCCAATGGTGGAACAAGCTCCCTCACGACGCCAGGACAGCAGAGTCACTCACCACCTTCCGGAGACATTTGAAACCCCACCTCTTTAAAGAATACCTGGGATAGGATAAAGTAATCCTTCCACCCCCGACCCCCCCCAAAAAAAAAAAAAAAAAAGTGTAAAGTGGTTATCCCACTGGCTATAGGGTGAATGCACCAATTTGTAAGTCGCTCTGGATAAGAGCGTCTGCTAAATGACGTAAATGTGCCCTTGAGCAAGGCACTTAACCCTAATTGCTCCTGTAAGTCGCTCTGGATAAGAGCGTCTGCTAAATGACTAAAATGTAAATGTAATGTAAATGTCCGGGTTAGGGGAGGGTTTGGCAGGCTGGGATGTCCTTGTCCCATCGCGCTCTAGCGACTCCTTGTGGCGGCCGGGTGCATGCACGCTGACATTGATCGCCAGCTGTACGGTGTTTCCTCCGACATGTTGGTGTGGCTGGCTTCCGGGTTAAGCGAGCAGTATGTCTAGAAGCAGTGCGGCTTGGCGGGGTCGTGTTTCAGCGGGAGCATGGCTCTCGACCTTCGCCTCTCCCGAGTCCGTACGGGACTTGCAGCGATGGGACAAGACTGTAACTACCAATTGGATAATCACGAAATTGGGGAGAAAAAGGGGTAGAACCTACCACAAAAAAAAAAACATGCGAAAAAACTAATATGCCTATGCGTCTGGTGGACATCGGGCATTGGACATCCTTGTGAACTAAAGCAAGGACTATCAAAGGTCTTCAAAGTGAATAGCCATAACATGCCATTTTTGGACACAATTCCTCATACAAACACATCCAGCAAACACCATTTCAACATGCCTGTTACCAAATTAATACAATTGATTAAAGAGTATAGCCTACTTGTGAGCAGTCACAAAAATATATACAGTGGGGAAAAAAAGTATTTAGTCAGTCACCAATTGTGCAAGTTCTCCCACTTAAAAAGATGAGAGAGGCCTGTAATTTTCATCATAGGTACACGTCAACTATGACAGACAAAATGAGAAGAAAAAAATCCAGAAAATCACATTGTAGGATTTCTAATGAATTTATTTGCAAATTATGGTGGAAAATAAGTATTTGGTCAATAACAAAAGTTTCTCAATACTTTGTTATATACCCTTTGTTGGCAATGACACAGGTCAAACGTTTTCTGTAAGTCTTCACAAGGTTTTTACACACTGTTGCTGGTATTTTGGCCCATTCCTCCATGCAGATCTCCTCTAGAGCAGTGATGTTTTGGGGCTGTCGCTGGGCAACACAGACTTTAAACTCCCTCCAAAGATTTTCTATGGGCGGCAGGTAGCTTAGTGGGTAAGAGCGTTGTGCCAGTAACCGAAAGGTCGCTGGTTCTAATCCCCGAGCCGACTAGGTGAAAAATCTGTCGATGTGCCCTTGAGCAAGGCACTTAACCCTAATTGCTCCTGTAAGTCGCTCTGGATAAGAGCGTCTGATAAATGACTGTAAATGTAAATGTAAATGTATGGGGTTGAGATCTGGAGACTGGCTAGGCCACTCCAGGACCTTGAAATGCTTCTTACGAAGCCACTCCTTTGTTGCCCGGGCGGTGTGTTTGGGATCATTGTCATGCTGAAAGACCCAGCCACGTTTCATCTTCAATGCCCTTGCTGATGGAAGGAGGTTTTCACTCAAAATCTCACGATACATGGCCCCATTCATTCTTTCCTTTACACGGATCAGTCGTCCTGGTCCCTTTGCAGAAAAACAGCCCAGAGGCATGATGTTTCCACCCCCATGCTTCACATTAGGTATGGTGTTCTTTGGATGCAACTCAGCATTCTTTGTCCTCCAAACACGACGAGTTGAGTTTTTACCAAAAAGTTCTATTTTGGTTTCATCTGACCATATGACATTCTCCCAATCCTCTTCTGGATCATCCAAATGCACTCTAGCAAACTTCAGACGGGCCTGGACATGTACTGGCTTAAGCAGGGGGACACGTCTGGCACTGCAGGATTTGAGTCCCTGGCGGCGTAGTGTGTTACTGATGGTAGGCTTTGTTACTTTGGTCCCAGCTCTCTGCAGGTCATTCACTAGGTCCCCCCGTGTGGTTCTGGGATTTTTGCTCACCGTTCTTGTGATCATTTTGACCCCACGGGGTAAGATCTTGCGTGGAGCCCCAGATCGAGGGAGATTATCAGTGGTCTTGTATGTCTTCCATTTCCTAATAATTGCTCCCACAGTTGATTTCTTCAAACCAAGCTGCTTACCTATTGCCGATTCAGTCTTCCCAGCCTGGTGCAGGTCTACAATTTTGTTTCTGGTGTCCTTTGACAGCTCTTTGGTCTTGGCCATAGTGGAGTTTGGAGTGTGACTGTTTGAGGTTGTGGACAGGTGTCTTTTATACTGATAACAAGTTCAAACAGGTGCCATTTATACAGGTAACGAGTGGAGGACAGAGGAGCCTCTTAAAGAAGAAGTTACAGGTCTGTGAGAGCCAGAAATCTTGCTTGTTTGTAGGTGACCAAATACTTATTTTCCACCATAATTTGCAAATAAATTCATAAAAAATCCTACAATGTGATTTTCTGGAAATATTTTTCTCAATTTGTCTGTCATAGTTGACGTGTACCTATGATGAAAATTACAGGCCTCTCTCAACTTTTTAAGTGGGAGAACTTGCACAATTGGTGGCTGACTAAATACTTTTTTCCCCCACTGTATATTTTTTTTACCCAAAAGAAAAAAATAAAAAAAATAAAATAAAAAGAATATCAGCAACCTTCTAGATAGCGGCTAAATGTCCACAATTCTCTGGTTTAATAATACAAATATTTGGTCAAAAATCAAAACATGTCTTAAGTATTTTATTTGGTATGTGAAGCATAATAAATTGGATATAAGCCAACAAAACAGAAGAGTAAAAGTGTTGTATTAAACAGCATATTGTACCCTTACATTAAGGGTTAGTTTGTTGGGGTTGTGGCTGTGCAATTCATTTATAAAAAGTAAAGCCACCCAACATGAGAACAAAATGTTTAAGTCATCTTGTAGTGTAGGAATAAAACATGTATACAAGTGCTACAAAAGCTACAGTAAATATTTTAGCTGTAAAAAGTACATACACAGCATTGTGTTAAAATATGAATATTTAACAAAATAGTTGATACAAAAATCCAATGTATGGGACTACATTTAAAGCATTTAATAAACACACACACAAACAAAAGTATGTGGACACCTGCTTGTCGAACATCTCATTCCAAAATCATGGGCATTAATATGGAGGTGGTCCCCCCTTTGCTGCTATAACAGCCTCCACTCTTCTGGGAAGGCATTCCACTAGATATTAGAAAATTGCTGCGGGGACTTGCTTCCATTTAGCCACAAGAGCATTAGTGAGGTCGGGCACTTATGTTGGGCGATTAGGCCTGGCTCGCAGTCAGCGTTCCAATTCATCCCAAAAGTGTTCGATGGGGTTGAGGTCAGGGCTCTGTGCAGGCCAGTCAAGTTCTTCCACACCGATCTCAACAAACCATTTCTGTATGGACCTGGCTTTGTGCACGAGGGCATAGTCATGCTGAAACAGGAAAGGGCCTTCCCCAAACTGTTGCCACAAAGTTGGAAGAACAGACTTGTCGAGAATGTCATTGTATGCTGTAGTATTAAGATTTCCCTTCACTGGAACTAAGGGGCCTAGCCCGAACCATGAAAAACAGCCCCAGACCATTATTCCTCCTGAACCAAACTTTACAGTTGGCACTATGTATTGGGGCAGGTAGAGTTCTCCTGGTATCCGCCAGGTAGTGAGTGTTGCAACCGAGGACAGATTATTTTTATGAGCTTCAGCAATCGGTGGTTCCGTTCTGTGAGCTAGCGTGGCCTACCACTTCGCAGCTGAGCAGTTGCACCTAGACGTTTCCACTTCACAATAACAGCACTTACAGTTGACCGGGCAGCTCTAGCAGGGCAGAAATTTGACTAACTGACTTGTTGGAAAGGTGGCATCCTATGACAGTGCCACGTTGAAAGTCACTGAGCTCCTCAGTAAGGCCATTCACATGTCTGTAGAACTTGTTCAGTTTATGTCTCAGTTGTTGAATCTTGTTATGGTCATACAAATATTTATACATGTTAAGTTTGCTGAAAATAAACGCAGTTAACAGTGAGAGGACGTTTCTTTTTTTGCTGAGTTTAATATATATATATATATATATATATATATATATATATATATATATATATTTACGTAACTAGAATCAGTGAATCATCTGTGGATCCATAAGGAAGGGCTAAGGATCCAAATTTGCCAGCACTGAAAGCAGAGTATAGACAGCATGTACAAAGAAACTTCACTTGAACTGTGTCATAGAGCACATTATGCTTTTAAGGTCATTTGTCACGTGAATGGTGGTGAAGGGAAAGGGTTATGCCAAGTGTCTTATGTCTATGATAGCATTACATGAATAGCAGCATTAGATGGGTGGTTGGCAAAATAGTTCAATGGAGCGTGACTGAAATGCACTGTCAGCATTTAGAGATAATGTGAGACGGAAGGGTAGGAAAGAAAACACTTGGTCTGTGCCATCGCTCTCAGTCTCTGGGCATCTTAGCAATGCGTCACTGGTCCCGAGCTTCATACAGCAGTTTGGCAGCCTGTCAGGGAACAGAGACGTAGTACAGGCAGAACTATTCAAAATAACTATTAAACCATATACACACACAGTACGCAATGGCAGGTCTGAAGCTTGGATATCACAACATAAATTCCAGTAGTAGCAAATATAATATTCCTATTAAAACACAAGCCAGCCTGTTAAATGTGGTGTACCTTGTGCATAGCAGCCAGCCATGAGGAGGCGGTCTTCTTGTCGTCTGCTGCCTCCATGCGTAACTGCTGGGGGTCCTGAGAGCCAGTGGGTTTGTAGTGGAGCAACATGCCACTGGCCCTGGAGTTTCCCCCTGGACCCAACACACACAGTTAAACACAGCCTGGTCTCAGACTAGACATAACATAACATAGTAAATGGTAGAGCATGGCGCTTGCAACACCAGGGTTGTTTATTCGTTTCCCACGGGGGGCGAGTACGAAAAATGTATGCACTCACTACCTGTAAGTCGCTCTGGATAAGAGCATCTGCTAAATGACTAAAATGTAAATGTATGGTTACATAAGACAGATTGTTACTTAGGGTGGGTGAGTGTATAACATGAACGTCTATCAACCCAAAGGTGCGAGTTCAAATCTCATCACGTACAACTTGAGCATTTTAGCAACTTTTCAACTACTTACTACTTTTTTGCTACTTTGCAACTACTTAGCATGTTAGCTAACCCTTCCTCTAAGCCTTTCAGCTAACCCTTTCCTTAACACTTTAACCTAACTCCTAAACTTAACCCTAACCCCTAGCCTAGCTAACGTTAGCCAGCTAGCTAACATTAGCCACCTAGCTAGAATTCGTAACATATCATATGTTTGGCAAATTCGTAACATATTGTAAATTTTACAACTTCGTAACATATTGCACGTTTCACAAATTCATAACATATTAATACAAATTGTAATTCGTAACATATCATACAAAATGGGTGATGGACATCCACAAATGAATACATACCATACAAAATGTAACATATAATACTAAATGGAGTGTCTCGGATTTCCATACAGAATAATACGAAATGCTGAGACCAGGTTGTTAAGCAAGGTACAGTAAAACACACTCACTATCTTGGGATGTACATGGGGATCTGCCCCATGGAAGCATGCATGGGACACGGATTTTAAGAACGTTGCCTTTGTTCTACCACTGATATAAAATGCATGTACGGTACTATGATAACAAAGGCATCCTTATCAAAAGCAGGGCCACAAACTCTGGAGGCAGATGAACTTATGATGAGGAGGAATAATGGAGAGTGGGGGACAAGGGAGTATAACAGCGCTAACCTTCAGAGATATACTGACTGTCCAGCAGACTGGTGTAAGTGTGAATGTCATTCTCTAAGACCAAAAGGAGAAGGGCCAGGCCGCCCAGAGGCAGAGTGAGAGAGGGAGAGAGTGTGTTAATATTAAAGCAGAGAGGAAACAGTCAGGCACAACCACCACCTCAGTATACTTACCATGCTGTTATATCAGTTAAGGGCTTTCAAATCAATACAATGAAAAGACACAAAGTCAACAGAATTTTACTGTGGATTTATGATTACACTTCCGGTCATAAAGAGGAGATGGAGCTAGTTCCTCCACCCACCGGAATCCATGTCTCTTAATCAATAAGCATTCAACGAGCTGCACAGTATCGCTGCTGTACTGTCATCATACTGCCCTCTGTACTGAGAGCAATCAAGCCAGGCTGAGCGAACAACCAGAGGACATCTGATCCAGAGCCTTACCTTCAGGGGTGGACTCCTCCGTTAACACCTGCATACTGGAGATCCGAGACAGCTCCACCTCAAAATGGCTTTCCCCATCAAAGAAAAGATACCTGAGTGGAGAGAGGAGAGAGGGAGAAAAAAGAGAGCAAGAGAGGAGGTGTCAGACAGTGATGTACTGAAAGTCTTTCAACTGGAAAATGTGCATTTTCTAAAGTGGTTCTATCAAAGCACAGATACAGTATATGTCCTTCCAGCATTAACCTAAATAACTATATATTTTCCCTTTGTGTCTGTGTAAAATGTAAAACACTCACGATACCTGTGGTTGTTGGAGAGACGACACATCATGGTCTCAGACTTCTTTGAGGTGCCCAAAGTGACAATAAATGAACCACCTGAGTATGACAGAGAAGTCATGTTACCAGTGAGTCAAATCAAAAAAGCATGCCAATCAAAAATCATTCTATAATAATCCATCCAACTGTAGATACCTTACAGTCCATTGGTGTTGTTGTACTAATGGATAATCTTGGTAAACCCAGAACTAAAATCTGTCTTAATTTGGTTGTTTACGTAGTCTGTACACAAGAGATTATACTAAGGATACAGCATTGATTGATCATGCTATCTGGCTAACATGACCCCATTAGTCCAACATGCTTCAAGGCTTTCTCTCTAGGTCCCCGCCACTGCAGCCAGCCCTTGCCCTGGAGCTCACCATGCTGCTAATGGATATTTCATTATGGGCCTGGCTGAGTGAAGCAGAGTGGAAGGGCCTATTTATAACTACACTGGTCTGCACCGACACAAAGGGATAGATCGGGGCAGGACAGCATCACCTCAGGCCTAGCCCTGCTCACAAACCACCCTATACACACAGATGTTAACATGGACAGGTCTGTGTGTTTGGGTGTCCTCCTTACACCATTGATTCATTCCTTTGAACTCACCTCCCATAAGCACTTTGAGCTGTTTGTCGTAGAACTCCATTTCCTTCTGGGAGACCAGGCTGCATTCGCCACACTGCCGGACTGGGTCGACGAAGCACATCCTCGGCAGAGCCACCTTCTTACTGCAGCACTTATCACAGAAACACCGGCCACACCGCCGACAGTGGTGCTGAACATCAACAGAACAAGAGGAAGGGAAGCAGAGGTCATAACAGGCAAAACCATGTATCCTATTGGCAAAAGCAACATTTTGGCTCAAAGTCAGGTAAAATAATCAACTGTATTTTATCTGATACACTACATGACCAAAAGTATGTGGACACCTGCTCGTCGAACATCTCATTCCAAAATTATGGGCATTAATATGGAGTTGGTCCCCCCTTTGCTGCTATAACAGCCTCCACTCTTCTGGGAAGACTTTCCACTAGATGTTGGAACATTGCTGCGGGGACTTGCTTCCATTTCAGCCACAAGAGCATGAACGAGGTCGGGCACTGATGTTGGGCAATTAGGCCTGGCTCGCAGTAAGAGTTCCAATTCATCCCAAAGGTGTTTGATAGGGTTGAGGTCAGGGCTCTGTGCAGGCCAGTCAAGTTCTTCCACACCGATCTCAACAAACCATTTCTGTATGGACTTCGCTTTGTGCACGAGGGCATTGTCATGCTGAAAAAGGAAAGGGCCTTCCCCAAACTGTTGCCACAAAGTTGGAAGCACAGACTTGTCGAGAATGTCATTGTATGCTGTAGCATTAAGATTTCCCTTCAATGGAACTAAGGGGCCTAGCCCGAACCATGAAAAACAGCCCCAGACCATTATTCCTCCTCCACCAAACTTTACAGTTGGCACTACGCATTCGGGCAGGTAGCGTTCTCCTGGCAGACTTCCAGATGGTGAAGCGTGATTCATCACTCCAGAGAACGTGTTTCCACTGCTCCAGAGTCCAGTGGGGGCGAGCTTTACACCACTCCAGCTGACGCTTGGCATTGTGCATGGTGATCTTTGGCTGCTCGGCAATGGAAACCCATTTCATGAAGCTCCCGATGAACAGTTGTGCTGACGTTGCTTCCAGAGGCAGTTTGGAACTTGGTAGTGAGTGTTGCAACCGAGGACAGAATTTTGTTTTGCTTCAGCACTCGGTGGTCCTGTTCTGTAAGCTTGTTTGGCCTTCCACTTCGCAGCTGAGCCGTTGTTGCTCCTAGACGTTTCCACTTCACAATAACAGCACTTACAGTTGACCGGGGCAGCTCTAGCAGGGCAGAAATTTCACGAACTGGCTTGTTGGAAAGGTGGCATCCTATGACCGTGCCACTTTGAAAGTCACTGAACTCTTCAGTAAGGCCATTCTACTGCCAGTGTTTGTCTATGGAGATTGCATGGTTGTGTGCTCGATTTTATACACCCGTCAGCAACGGGTGTGCCTGAACTAGCCGAATCCACTAATTTGAAGGAGTGTCCACATACTTTTATATTTATATTGTATATTATGTTATGGGATCATAGTAAAGCAAATCAAACCTTTCTTGTAAGGAAGTCATATTTTTTGTCACACTGCATACAGCTTGGGCACTGAAAGAGGAACAGGACATCAGCCAATACTTTTGGTTCACTCAAGTTCAAACATGGACACAACAATCTGATTCAGTTTAAATGGATTACCGAAAGACCTCTCCTTTGCACTAAGACGATCACAAACTTAAGGCTTACAGTAACATACCCACAGACAATGAGGTAGCCTTACACTGTGACTGTTTTAATACCACCACATGTACACTGATCTTTAAGATGCTGTGACCATTCAAACACACATGGGTGAAGAGGCAGTAAGCTGTGACAAACTGCTGGACAGGTTTACTGTAAGGTTCACTACACAGCTATGACCCATGCCCATCCCCCACATTCTCACACACAAGCGCGCTGCCTCTATTGTTCTCTTCCTTTGACATTCTCTTGCAGTCCAGTGCCTCACTGCCTCCCTAAACCGGACACAAAAAGGGCAGCATCACTGACAGCAACTCAAGTGATTGCCAATGTGGACCCATGTCTTGATCATGATTAGCCTGGGTAGCCACTAGTGGGCTTTATGGATCTCCACTATCGTCTGGGCTTGATGTGCACACCAGGTAATATACTCGTGTCCCCCAGCGACCAGTTCGGTCATAAAACATTCTCCATTAAGGCTGCAAAGGCTTCGATTTCCTCAACTTGATTTAATTGGGAGAAGGTGGGTAAAAAATTTGTACTTTCTTTATGATGGAGGCGAAAGAAACGCGCACCTATTTAGGCGAGGTGCTGGCTAACAGAGTAGAACACTTGAAAAAGAACAGGAGAGGCGCACACTCTAGGAGCTCAGATGCAATAATTTAATAACTAACGTTTCTACAGACAAGCTGTCTTCATCAGGGTATAATGACAAACACTGCGGGTCACTAGTTTTATATAGTGTCAAAGGACACACACAGGTGTCTGTAATCATGGCCGGGTGTGGCCTGATATCATTGGTTAATTCACAGATAAACAGAACATACAAAAAACATGAATAGATAGCATACGATCATAGATACAACTTGGCTACATAGGCCCACAAACATTTACAATGAATAGCAAAATCACAATAATCACAACAATGGCATCAAATCGAAGTCTACGTTGGGAGCAAGGGTCTTTAAATTAAAGATCCAGGCAGCTTCTCGTTTTAACAATAAGTTATCGAGGTCACCCCCTCTCCTAGGGAGGGTGACATGTTCGATGCCGATATAACGTAGGGACGAAATCGAGTGGTTCGCTTCCAAAAAGTGTGCAGCGACTGGGTACTTTTAATTCGCGCTTTGTTTTACCCACATAATTTTTACCACAAGGCCAAGTTATAAGATAAATAACTGCCTTAGTGGAGCACGTAATAACACCTTTGATTGGGATCGGTTTCCCTGTTTGGGGGTGTTTGAAGGATCTACATTTGTAAGTGCCATTGCATTGAGCGCAGCCATTACACTAGTTTCCATCCGGTAGAGGCGCAAATAGATGTTTTGCAGTGAAATTTAGGGGTGGTAAATCAGAGTTTAACAATTGATCTCTGAGATTTCTGCCCCACGAGAATACGACCAAGGGAGGGTCCGAAAACACATTACCGATACTCTCATCGGATCTTAGAATGTGCCAATGTTTGTGAACGATTCCCTTAATTTGTTCAGAGCACTTTGAATAGCGTGCAGTTAGAACTCAAGAATGCTTCTTTTTGCGAGACTGTCCTTGAAAGAGATCAGGTCTCGATTTGTTTTAAATTTTCTCAATGGCAGTATTAATCTGACCATTTTTGTACCCCCTCTCCTTGAATGTTCTTTGCGTCTCAGCCATATTTCTGTCGAAATCTGATTGTTTTTTGCAAATTCTTTTGATTCGACAGAATTGGCTGTAGGGCAAACTGTTTATCAAGGGAAGCGGGTGACAACTATCAGCCCTCAACAAACTGTTACGATCAGTAGGTTTCCTGTAAAGATCAGTGTATAGAACATTATCCTCAAACAAAATCAGAAGATCAAGGAAACTGATTTGACGTGTGTCAGATTGTATAGTAAATCTCAGGTGCTTAGAACAAGAGTTTAGAAAAGCATGGAATGCCTGGAGCTGTTTTGAATCACCCCTCCATAGAACAAAAATAACATCAATGTACCGTTTCGAAATAATAATGTTAGGCAAGAAAACATTTTTGAGAGGATTGAAAATTGACTTTCTCCATGTAACCCACATACAAATTAGCATAGTTAGGAGCCATAGGGTATCCCATAGCTGTACCCTTCGTCTGAATAAAGAAATCATTTAGAAACATTAAGTAGTTGTGTGTGAGTACTATTTCAGCCAATGTTATAATGCATGCACTGGAAGGTAGTTCATTTGGGTCACGTTGCAAAAGAAAAATGTTCCATGGTTTCAATGCCGCCCTCGTGTGGAATATTTGTGTATAACGACTCAACATCAAAAGTAACTAACAAGGTATTATCAGGGAGAGGATCAAGAGATTCAATAATAGAGATCATACTGCTAGTGTCCTTTACAAAGGAGGGGAGCTGTTCTGCAAGTGGTCTAATAAAAAAGTCAACAAAGGTCGATAAAGGGGATGTTACTGCATCAATGCCCGCTACAATAGGGCGTCCTGGAGGTTTTGTAACATTCTTGAGTAATTTCGGCAAAGCATAGAAAGTGGCAATTTTAGGGTGTTGAATAGCCAAAAAGTTGTGTTCTTTTTTGGTGATTTGACCAGAACTTAAATACCCATCTAGGACAGTAAAGATAGTGTTCTGAAATTGGGAAGTGGGGTCACTTCTGAGTTTTTTGTAAAAGGTGTTGTCAAGTAGTTGTCTGACACTCATTTACATAAACTGTCCTATCCATGAGTACAACTGACCCACCCTTATCAGCAAGGCAGGTAAGGACTGACGTATCGGATTGTAAATCACGCAAAGCTTGTTTTTCATCCTTAGGTAAATTATGGAAAGATATGTACTCCTGTTTGTTCTTAAGGAGATTTCCAACATCTTTTTCAACAAGTCTGCAATATGTTTCAATAGAGTGATTGCGATTGGCTGGAGGTACAAAATAAGTCTTACTTCTGAAAGGAGTCGGAGTATGTGCAGGGGAGCAGCCTACATGTTCAGTTGAAATATCACGATTAGGGGAGCTAAAGTATTCCCTTTAACGGATGTTTCTAAAAAACGTAAACATATCTACCTTAACATTGAAATCGTCGCACTGAGTTGTAGGCACAAAATATAACCCTTTATTAAGCAAGGAGACATGGGCAGGACTCAATATCTTGCTTGATAAATTAAAGACACTCAGTCCCGTTGGTTCTGGGACCGTGTGAACGGTTCCCTCTGCCTCTGGTAGTCGTTTCTTCTTACCCCGTCGGGTACGGCATCTCGTCGGTACGAGTGACCGCGGCCACCTCCGCACTTCCGTCGGCCCAGTCTCTCGTTGGATAAAAACAACTGGCACTGGAAGCGGATGAGGCGCTGGTTGTAGAGCGTTGGTCAGACGGGAGTGGATAGAAGTTAGCGGCCTCCCTCCTGCATCTGTCATGGAGAGGAGGAGCAGGACCTCTTTTTTCAGGGTTTCTCCAGAAGCAGACTTTGTCCTCTGCCTTATCTTTTTTGTCTTGGCTGAATTTCTTGATTTTAAGCTCCTTTATTTCTGTAGACAACTTGTCCTGGAGCGCTTGGTTAGTTTTCATCAGTTCATTGAATATGCCATCATCATTAACAGCTCTTTGCAGAGCTGTGCGTTTCTCTTCAATCGTGGTAACCATTTCAATAAAATCATTTTTCAACTGGTCAACAATTAATGTCATTAAATCAATAGAGCATTTGTTCAGGATGGCACACCAGCGCTCACAGAAATCATCTGTGCGTTGTCCCATTGATGGTTATTTTTGCCACCTGAGTCCACGTGGTATAATGCCTTGACGCACACAATCACTATATGTAGATGCCTTCTCGTCTGGCGCTTAGATAAGTTTAACAGTTATTTCGAGAGGTTAGAATCCCCCCCCCCGGCATGTTTCTTTATTAAACACAATTTTCCACCACCGTACCAGAGTGGCTAAATAATACCTAGGAATGCTACTTTCTGATGTTGCGCCCCGCGTTAAGCCAATCAGGTTGCTTCAGTCCAGTGGAGGCTGCTGGGGGGAGGACAAATGGAATGGCATCAAACACATGGAAACCATGTGTTCGATGTATTTGATACCATTCCACTAATTCCGCTCCAGCCATTACCATGAGCCCGTCCTCCCCAATTAAGGTTCCACCAACCTCCTGTGCATCAATCTGTTGTTTACTCCTGGCTGAATGCCGGGCGCAACATCAAGAAGTAGTATTCCTTACGCATTAAGACACTAGCATGGTGGTGGAAAATCAACTCGCAAAAAAATAAAATGTATTGGTCGTGTACACATATTCCCGCAGATGTTATCGCGAGTGTTCCTAGCTCCAAAAGTGCAGTAATACCTAACAATACACGCAAATCCCAAATATTAAAAGAAATTAAGAAATATATGTACACTGAACAAAAATATAAAATGCAACAATTTCAAAGATTTTACTGAGTTACATACAGTTCATATAAAGAAAATCAGTCAATTGAAATACATTTATTCAAATCAAATTTTATTTGCCACATGCGCCGTATACAACAGGTGTAGACATTACAGTGAAATGCTTACTTACAAGCCCTTAACCAACAATGCAGTTTTTTAAATAAATAAATAAATAAAACACAATAAATAAAAAAATAGAAAAAAAATATGAATAATTAAAAACAAAAAATAAAGTGTTAAGTCAAAAAATAAAAGCTAATAACTAAAGAGCAGCAGTAAAATAAAATAACAGTAGGGAGGCTATATATAGGGGGGTACCGGTACAGAGTCAATGTGCGGGGGCACCGGCTAGTCGAGGTAATATGTACATGTGGGTAGAGTTAAAGTGACTATGCATAAATAATACACAGAGTAGCAGCAGCATATTAGGCCCTAATCTATGGGTTTCACATGACTGGAAATACAGATATGCATCTGTTGGTCACAGATACCTTCAAAAACAGAATGGTAGGGGTGTGGATCAGAAAACCAGTCAGTATCTGGTGCGGCCCCTATTTGCCTAATGCAGTGCAACATCTCCTTCACATAGAGTTGATGAGGCTGTTGATTGTGGCCTGTGGAATGTGTGGAGGTCCTGGGCTGGCTTGGTTACACATGGTCTGCGGTTGTGAGGCCAGTTGGACGTACTGACAAATTCTCTAAAATTACATTGAGGCAGCTTATGGTAGAGAAATGAACATTTCATTATCTGGCAACAGCTCTGTTGGACATTCCTGCAGTCAGCATGCCAATTGCACGCTCCCTCAAAACTTGAGACATCTGTGGCATTGTGTTGTGTGACAAAACTGCACATTTTAAAGTGGTCTTTTATTGTCCCCAGCACAAGATGCAACTGAGTAATGATTATTCTGTTTAATCAGCTTCTTCATTTGCCACACCTGTTAGGTGGATGGATTATATTGGCAAAGGAGAAATGCTCACTAACAGAGATGTAAACAAATTTGTGCACAACGTTTTAGAGAAATAAGCTTTTTGTGCGTATGGAACATTTCTGGGATATTTTATTTCAGCTCATGAAACCAACACTTTACATATTGCGTTAAAAATTTTTGTTCAGTGTAAATGATGGTGTGTATAAACATTATGGATAATATATGAATAGAAAAGTTGTGTACAGCAGTAGTTATATAGGATGAGCCTTGACTAGAATACACTATATACACATTTGAAGTGGGTAAAACAGTATGGCTCAGGTCCTTGATGATCTACTTGGCCTTCCTGTGACACCGGGTGCTGTAGGGTGTTGTGGAGGGCAGGCAGTGGCCCCCGGTGATGTGTTGGGCTGACCGCACCACCCACTAGAGAGCCCTGTGGTTGCGGACGGTGCAGTTGCCGTACCAGGCGGTGATACAGCCCAACAGAATGCTCTCAATGGTGCATCTGTAGACGTTTGTGCGGGTCTTAGGGGCCAAGCCAAATTTCTTCAGCCTCCTGAAGTTGAAGAGGCGCTGTTGCGCCTTCTTCACCACACTGCCTGTGTGGATGGACCATTTCACGTTGTCAGTGATGTGCACGCAGAGGAACTTTTCACCTTCTCCACTGCGGCCCCATCTATGTGGATGGGGGTGTGCTCCCTCTGCTGTCTCCTGAAGTCCACGATCAGCTCCTTCGTTTTGTTGACATTGAGGGAGAGGTTATTTTACTTGCACCACTCTGCCAGGGCCCTCACCTCCTCACTGTAGGCGGTCTCGTCGTTGTTGGTAATCAGGCCTACCACTGTTGTGTCATCTACAAACTTGATGATTGAGTTGGAGACGTGCGTGGCCACACAGTCATGGGTGAACATGAACAAAGTACGCATATTTCCGCCGTTTTTTTCCACCTTCTCGTCATTAAATCTAGTTAAGGAGGAAATCCAAGCCTTTGAAGCCTGAATGAAAAATGTCTTGTGTACGAACCGGACGCCGGTGGACACGAGCGTATTACCGGCTGTGCACATCGAGCCCACTGGCGGCTGCCCAGCTTAGATCATGATGCATGTGGACCATTATCGGCATGTATACATCATACAACACCCAGTCACATTCTGTTAAAGGTCCCCAAAGCACACACATCCATGGGTCGCTCCTCTTTTCAGTTCGCGGCAGCTAGCGACTGGAACAAGACGCAAAAAACACTCAAACTGGACAGTTTTATCTCCATCTCTTCATTCAAAGACTCAATCATGGACACTCTTACTGACAGTTGTGGCTGCTTCGCGTGATGTATTGTTGTCTCTACCTTGCCCTTTGTGCTGTTGTTGTCTGTGCCCAATAATGTTTGTACCATGTTGTGCTGCTGCCATGTTGTGTTGCTACCATGTTGTTGTCATGTTGCTACCATGCGGTGTTGTCATGTTGTGCTGCTACCATGCTGTGTCGTCATGTGTTGCTGCCATGCTAGGTGGTTGTCTTAGGTCTCTCTATATGTAGTGTTGTGTCCTATATTTGTTTTTTTAATCCCAGCCCGTCATTGTAAATAAGAATTTGTTCTCAACTGGCTTGCCTAGTTAAAACAAACAAATATATCTATATATATCTATATATATTTAACCTTTATTTATCTCGTAGAGAAGGCGAGAGAAAAAAACTTTCAAATGAACTTGCAGTCATGTGAACAGCAATGACCTGCTGATGCATGTGGCAACTTCTGTTCTGTATTTTGGTAGAGCCTGACGCAAAGCAGCTAGCTACTTGACAATGTAGTTAGCCAACTAGTTACTGTCTACTTGTTAGCGACAACACTACAGGCAACTCTTTGGCATTTACAGCTGATTCCCTAAAACCACGCCACTTCGATACAGCTATGACCCGAAGCGACTTTTTCGTAACAGGTTAGGAGAATTAACGTAGTAGGTTAGGAAAAGTGTTAGGCGAGTTTGCGAAAATGTTCTCCTAACCTATCTACGAAAAGTCACTTCACGACGAAGTTGTATCGAAGTGGCGTGTTTTTAGGGAATCACATTTACAGCTTGCAAATTGCTGAGCATTGTTAAAACGAAACCAACACATGACAAATGAAGTAGCTAGGAAGTTATAAAAAATAAAAAAAAACGAAATGTAAAATAAAAATACAAAAACATACGCCTTTTGTCATGCAATCAATCATGAGATAAGTAACGTTAGCTGGCTACTGTCCAGTAGCAGTATGCGACGCCCAGTCCGGGGGTCAAGTCCGAGCGGCGTTGCCCTCTTGTTATTTCCTCTCCAATAGTCTCTTACCTCTTTGTCCGGGACCCACTGGGGTTCATCTAACGAAAAAGGGCTGTTAAACGCTCCATTCTCCGGGACCATTCGAAGTCCACTTGGGCTTCGAACCAATTTCTTGCCATCAGGCACTGAAGACATTTTTCCAGAACCAACAACGTTTTTTTTTTTTCGCCCATACTAAAACACACGCCTATCGTATTTGATTGACAGCGCCGTTGTCCAATAGAAATGCGTGGAGTATAATCACTGATGTCATGTGATGAACCGGAACAAACGAAAAGCAATGTTGTTTTGGTTTTCTGACCCCACCCACATTCTTTCTTGAAACTTTAGGAAAAACATCTACACAAACTAGGTTTCCATCCAATTGGCGACAGATTTTCATGCGGAATTCACAAATCCGCATAAAAACAATATCCGCATTTTCCCACCAGAGATGTTTAAATCAAATTGTTGCAGATAAAAGGCTGTGCGTGATGACATAGTGCACATAAAAATACATTTCGTTGTTAAATTCCCATGTACCGAATAAAAAATACAAGTTAAATGGGTTTCCATCGCATTTTCAACTCTACTGATGGTTTTCTCACCAAAAAATATAGCAAGTGTACCCACTCCGGTATTGGCACGTGCGCTCTAGTCAAGAGCGCGTGGATACGTCTCCTGTGAAGTTCATCATAATTTATTTCATCTGTAGCCTAATAACTGCATGCTTTCCCGACAAGTCGTAGTGGGAGGACTACACAATATGTCATCGCGTGACTCCATGTTTACTTCGATATGATGGTTATTATATAGATATTTGCGCATAAAAGCGTTTCCACCGAGATTTCTCGCATAATTCATTTTACCGACACAAAAAAAGACCCCACCTTGTGTAGCGTATTTTGTTTCGTCGACATTTTGAAAGTTTATCGAAACATTTGTTTCCATTCGGCCTGTCATGACATGTACTTTACTCGCATAAAAAGGTTGGATGGAAACCTGTTTACAGTTAGGAAAAATTAGGTTTAACAAACAAGTTATTTGCAATGGATAACACTACAGATTACTTTGATGATATGATATAGCTACAAACAACCAATAATTGCTCCACCTATATAATTTCTAATCTTGTATCTTAAAAAAAAAAAAATGTTCAAGACTCATTAACGATTTTAGATTCACTAAACAAGATCCGTTTTTGAAAGTGTAATAAATGATGGATTACAGATACAGTATTTATAGTGGACTTCATAAAATCCAGTAGGGGGCGGTGAGATAATGCTCATTATCCTGTGTGTCTATCTCCTCTCTCGGGCTGTGCTCAATGATCCAATGCTCCTTTATCATACCCAAAAAATATAGAGGGACTAAGAAAAACATTTGTATTATTTTATTCATACAATTTATACCATACAATATATTTTTGCAGGACAAACACTTCACCACAGTTTATGGGCGGATCCAGCCAGCACAGCAGGCAGCCTAAGGGAGGGGCTGGGAGTTTAGGCAGTTACCAATTGTGTGATCCTATCGTCAGTGTAGCCCAGGACATCCCCACACATACACACTCCGGTCCAACCCCAAACAAAAATTGTACTTTCAAAATCAAATGAACGGATGGACAGTAGAGAGGCTGGTGCATTGACTGTTAAGACCCACTAACAATAGGGTGATGTCATCATGAAGATTTCCCAGCAGTGTTTCACTGGTGGAGTTCGTTTTGCATGGCCTGGTGCACCGGGTGAGTGGAGATTTCCTTTAAGAACCAATGGAACGGTCTAAAATGAGCAAACTCCGGCCCCCAGGTGCACCTGGCCATGCAAAACGAACCTTCCCATTAGTTCAGGGCTTGTTGCCCTTCTCCATAAGAATATGTGCACCACCTCAACAGTGACTCAGAGTACCACTGCTCATAGGATTCCTAATTTCAAATAATTAACCACACCGGTCTTTGAGCTTAAGATTCATTCATTCACTTTATCATCATCATTACTGAGAAAGTTAGCTGTTTTGCCAGTAAAGCAAAAGACTTCAGGATTAATACATTGAAGAACAAATAATTACAGGCCAGGCATTTGAGATGGATTTCATGATCATTTAAGTTTGAAAAAATATGGTTATAAACACAGTGGCAATCACATTTCAGAAATAGGGTCCTATTTTCTCTCAACACAGTATACTTGAATTAATGCTTCTGATATAAAGCATACATTTTGTCCTCACGAATTCAATGTCTAGCCATCTGAATTTATGTGCCTTTTTAATCAGTTGGACACTGTGGTACCTTTCCAGTAACTCTGAGTGAACACAGAATGGAGAAAAACACAAATAAAGCAGGTTGATGACAGACAAACTGATCAACAGTCAAATGGGAGCTTCCAACACATACTTAGCTTACAGGCTTGTGCTTATATCAAAGTTCCTTACATTTGTACATTCTGTCCTGACAAGCACAATGTTACCACAATGTTATATGAGTATGATCTAATATATACATAACTAGGTAAGGCTAAAAGCTTGCACAAGTTAATCACGTTTCGTTGTGTGTTCTACATTTGTATAGGGAGGATAAAAGTTACATTTTTCTAATTACCAACTGCATTCTGCATAGAAAAGCCTATGCCCGTTACTGCATGAGCCACTAAATCATTTTTAACAAACAAGCTGCAATATACAGTAAACTATACCACAGACCTCTGCTTGAAATTCTCAAACAATGTCTGGTATTCACTCAGCAAATTACTCACTACTCCATGGTTCACTCTGCTCATGACAGCTAGCTTGTTCATCATTAAAACAGGTCCTGTTCCTTGGACAGTCTAACCGGTCTTTAACCCTAACTAGTGATGTTCCAGGTGAGGGACTGGGGGGTGTCCCTGGTCCTATGCTTTCTAAAGTAAAATGTAACAGTCACCTTCCTTACATAATATAATGCTATCACACAGCCCCATCAACAGCCCACGTTAACACAGTCCACCAAACAAGCAATCCAAACCCATGTCAGGGGTCAGTAGGGTCATGTCTGTGAACCTAAATGAAGCACGCTCCAGAAACGAACAACCACTAATTTAAACGTTTTGAGAACACCACATTTGCGTCGTTTTACTTTGGTGACAGACCTATAATATATCTATTAAAAATGATCGCTTTTTGGTAGGATATTCATAAAGTACAAGTCCTTAAGCTTAATTTCACTCTTTATACAGTCTTACTCTTGATTCATCATTCAACATCCAGAAACAGACTGGTACAAATTGTTAAACAATGTGTCTACTCTAGATTGTAACAATGTTTTTCAGCTATTACTGGAAATTGCATTTGACTGTAACAGGTTCGTGTTAAATATCTAGTGCAGTCAGTGTATAATATCAAAACTAGCCTGGCTAGCGATCTTCTGTTCTGTGACAATCCTGAGAAACACAATGCTCCTGCCTCATAACTTCATATACAGTGGGGAGAACAAGTATTTGATACACTGCCGATTTTACAGGTTTTCCTACTTACAAAGCATGTAGAGGTCTGTAATTTTTATCATAGGTACACTTCAACTGTGAGAGACGGAATCTAAAACAAAAATCCAGAAAATCACATTGTATGATTTTTAAGTAATTAATTTGCATTTTATTGTATGACATAAGTATTTGATCACCTACCAACCAGTAAGAATTCCGGCTCTCACAGACCTGTTCGTTTTTCTTTAAGAAGCCCTCCTGTTCTCCACTCATTACCTGTATTAACTGCACCTGTTTGAACTCGTTACCTGTATAAAAGACACCTGTCCACACACTCAATCAAACAGACTCCAACCTCTCCACAATGGCCAAGACCAGAGAGCTGTGTAAGAACATCAGGGATACACTTGTAGACCTGCACAAGGCTGGGATGGGCTACAGGACAATAGGCAAGCAGCTTGGTGAGAAGGCAACAACTGTTGGCGCAATTATTAGAAAATGGAAGAAGTTCAAGATGACGGTCAATCACCCTCGGTCTGGGGCTCCATGCAAGATCTCACCTCGTGGGGCATCAATGATCATGAGGAAGGTGAGGGATCAGCCCAGAACTACACGGCAGGACTTGGTCAATGACCTGAAGAGAGCTGGCACCACAGTCTCAAAGAAAACCATTAGTAACACACTACGCCGTCATGGATTAAAATCCTGCAGCGCACGCAAGGTCCCCCTGTTCAAGCCAGCGCATGTCCAGGCCTGTCTGAAGTTTGCCAATGACCATCTGGATGATCCAGAGGAGGAATAGGAGAAGGTAATGTGGTCTGATGAGACAAAAATAGAGCTTTTTGGTCTAAACTCCACTCGCCGTGTTTGGAGGAAGAAGAAGGATGAGTACAACCCCAAGAACACCATCCCAACCGTGAAGCATGGAGGTGGAAACATCATTCTTTGGGGATGCTTTTCTGCAAAGGGGACAGGACGACTGCACCGTATTGAGGGGAGGATGGATGGGGCCATGTATCGCGAGATCTTGGCCAACAACCTCCTTCCCTCAGTAAGAGCATTGAAGATGGGTCGTGACTGGGTCTTCCAGCATGACAACGACCCGAAACACACAGCCAGGGCAACTAAGGAGTGGCTCCGTAAGAAGCATCTCAAGGTCCTGGAGTGGCCTAGCCAGTCTCCAGACCTGAACCCAATAGAAAATCTTTGGAGGGAGCTGAAAGTCCGTATTGCCCAGCGACAGCCCCGAAACCTGAAGGATCTGGAGAAGGTCTGTATGGAGGAGTGGGCCAAAATCCCTGCTGCAGTGTGTGCAAACCTGGTCAAGACCTACAGGAAACGTATGATCTCTGTAATTGCAAACAAAGGTTTCTGTACCAAATATTAAGTTCTGCTTTTCTGATGTATCAAATACTTACAGTAAGGGAAAAAAGTATTTGATCCCCTGCTGATTTTGTATGTTTGCCCACTGACAAAGACATGATCAGTCTATAATTTTAATGGTAGGTTTATTTGAACAGTGAGAGACAGAATAACAACAAAAAAATCCAGAAAAACGCATGTCAAAAATGTTATAAATTGATTTGCATTTTAATGAGGGAAATAAGTATTTGACCCCCTCTGCAAAACATGACTTAGTACTTGGTGGCAAAACCCTTGTTGGCATTCACAGAGGTCAGACGTTTCTTGTAGTTGGCCACCAGGTTTGCACACATCTCAGGAGGGATTTTGTTCCAC